ATGTACATGTTAATGGCGTAACTGTGCACTATCTCTGTTCCTTGCATTATTTGCAGCCGATGCTCTTCACAATCATCTTGTGCGATGCGTTGACAAAAAAAAAAATCAATACGTAGTGATCCAAGTGCAACTAGTTCTTGTTGAAACGATTCCCTTGAAACAAAGATGCAGGATTCCTTCGCGCAAAAGAAGCAGGCTATACTCAATGACATTTCAACAAATGGTCCTGACAACTTGGATGCGTCTCCAAAGGGTACCATAGATGAGCATTGTATAGCTATCATCAATTTGATCAATTCGCATCGAGATATGGTGACGACTTCCTCGTGTTCTGGACGAGTATCTGTTTACTTGGAGGGTATTCAGAACAAGCTTGTACTGAAGGGTAATGAAGGTAGATGGATATTTGTAACTCATGACACCATGAACCTTGAAGACTGGTACAAGACAATAGATTTCCAATATGTGCAAGAATATCCGTCATCGTCATATGAAACCAGGTCCATATTATATAAATTCGAAGCGCTTATATTGCACGTCAAATGCCGAAATCAATCCATGGCCAATAAACTATATTCCGTTGCCATGAATTGTGGGTTCAGAGAAAGTGGCATAGGAAGTAACTACAATGTGGCAATTAGGACATCAATAAAATTGGATGTACCCATTGGTTACTTAGGTGATGACAACACTTATCGATGCTTTGTCACTGAAAACTACTTGAAATACATCACCAACGTGTCATTTGATAGGTTTAAGGAAAACTTTAAAAAGTTGGAGCAGTTGTACCAAGCCATAGAAAAATATATCATCAACTTGAGCGAGCCATCTAAAGACAGTAACGATGATTTTGATGAGTCAAAGTGCAAGAGCTTCAAAAGTAAAGGTTGGGAAAGTATAGAAGAAAGAAGGGCCAGGATGAGAGAAGAAGGGTTGCGAAAAAAGGAAGAATTGAAGAAAGCTAAAGATGCTGCTGAATCAACATAGAGTTCAGTTTATATAGCTGCTTATGGAATAGACTGTAACCATAAAGTGTGTGATTTTATGGATAAAGGACGGTAAAATTTAATGATTAAAGGAAGAAAAATAAAGTTTGTACATACACTAATAAATAATGTGTCACCCGTTGTATCTTTCTCTCTCTGTCTCTCTTTCTTTCTTTTCGGAAAATTTTAAAATAATTTTTCATCTCTGCATATCCACTTTATTAATACCCAATTACTACTACTCATTAATAGCTAAACCCCTTTGCCATGTCTACCTCAGAAAAGTTGGAGAATTTGTCAATCGACGAAAAGAAAGCTGAATCACCAGCCTCCAAGCAGGAGAGCTCGTCTTCTGAACAACCAGAGGAAGTTATTTTGGGCGAAGATGGACAACCTTTGTCCAAGAAGGCCTTGAAGAAATTGCAAAAAGAGAAGGAAAAACAAGCAAAGAAAGCAGAAAGGGAAGCACAATTAGCTAAGGAGAAAGAGGCCAGGGAAAAGGAAGCTGCCAATGATCCAGCCAAAGCCAATTATGGTAAATTGCCCCTCATCAATTCATCAACGAAATCAAATGTAAAGAGATCCCAGATCGCAGACATATCAGCTGCTAATGATGGCGAAACTGTTACGCTTAGAGCTAGAGTCCATAAAACAAGGCAACAAGGTGCCACCATGGTATTTTTTGCCTTGAGACAGCAAACCAACATCATCCAAGCATTGTTGAAGACCAATAAGGAAACTGACGATAGGGCCATCTCCAAACAAATGGTCAAATGGGCTGGAGGTATCAGTTTAGAAAGTATTGTTTTGGTCGAAGGTAAAGTGGCCAAAGTCGATGAATTGGTCAAATCAGCAACTGTGCAAGACGCTGAAATTCACGTCACTAAAATCTACACTATTCAAGAGACGCCTGAACAATTGCCACTTTTGTTGGAGGATGCATCAAGATCTGAACAAGAGGCCGAGGAATTAGGATTGCCAGTTGTCAATTTGGACACCAGGTTAGATGCAAGAGTCATTGACTTGAGAACACCAACCAATCAAGCAATTTTCAAAATCCAATCTGGTATTTCGCAATTATTCAGAGAATTCTTGTCAAAGAAAGGGTTCACCGAAATCCATACACCAAAGATTATTGGTGCCGCTTCGGAAGGTGGATCAAATGTTTTTGAAATCAACTACTTCAAAGGATCTGCATTCTTGGCTCAATCACCACAATTGTACAAGCAGCAATTGATTGCTGGTGACTTCGAAAGAGTTTTTGAAGTTGCCCCAGTTTTCAGAGCCGAAAATTCAAACACTCATCGTCACATGACTGAGTTTACCGGTTTGGATTTGGAGATGGCTTTTGAAGAACACTATGATGAAGTTTTGAAAGTCTTGGAAGATTTGTTTGTGTTTATCTTTACTGAATTGAAAGAAAGATATGGCAAAGAAATCGCCACTGTCAGAAAGCAGTTCCCTGTTGAAGAATTCAAGATCAATATGGTCAAGTTACATTTTAAGGAAGGTATTGCTATGTTGAGAGAAGCTGGTAAGGAAGTTGATGATTTCGAAGATTTGTCCACTGAGAATGAGAAATTGTTGGGTAAATTGGTGCGTGAAAAGTATGATACTGATTTTTACATTTTGGACAAATTCCCATTGGCAGTGAGGCCATTTTACACCATGCCAGATCCAGAAGATCCAAGATATTCAAATTCATACGATTTCTTTATGAGAGGTGAGGAGATCTTGTCTGGTGCTCAGCGTATTCACGACCCAGAGTTATTGAAGGAAAGAATGAAGGTACACGAAGTCGATCCAAATACTCCAGGTTTGAATGATTATATTGATGCGTTCACCTACGGCTGTCCTCCTCACGCTGGTGGAGGTATTGGATTGGAAAGAGTGGTCATGTTCTTCTTGGATTTGAAAAACATTCGTCGTGCTTCTTTGTTCCCAAGAGACCCAAAGAGATTGAGACCATAGTTGTAGCTTCTTATGAATATACTAATGCTATGTATGCTCTGTGTGTGCTTGTTGTAAGTAAGTATTTGTACTGTCCATTTCTTTTTTTTTTTGTAAGCGCGGCCGATGTCTCACAGCAGATTTATTGGACAAAAATCCGCCGATGTATATTTTCCATCGTCAATAAAGTATACACCAGAAGTAGTTGAAACACTAAAGAAACATATTATGGAGGCAACGATAGTATCACACCCAACAGGAAATAATGCAACGATATTGCTCATGGGGTTGCGAAGAAGTGGTAAATCCTCCATATGCAAAGTTGTTTTCCACAACATGCAGCCGCTAGATACATTGTATCTTGAAAGTACTTCAAAACCTACAAATGAGCAGTTCTCCTCGCTTATTGATTTGTCAGTTATGGAACTTCCCGGACAATTGAACTATTTCGAGCCAAATTATGATTCAGAGCGATTGTTTTCTTCGGTGGGAGCCTTGGTTTACGTCATCGACTCCCAAGATGAGTATTTGAATGCATTAACAAATTTATCGATGATTATTGATTTTGCCTACAGAGTGAATCCCAAGATTAACATAGAGGTCTTGATACATAAGGTTGATGGATTAAGTGAAGATTATAGAATGGATGCACAACAAGATATCATGCAAAGAACAGGTGATGAATTGCTAGATTTGGGTTTAGAGGGAGTTCTGGTGAGTTTTTACCTAACCTCCATCTTCGACCACTCAGTGTACGAAGCGTTTTCCAGAATAGTACAGCGATTGATTCCAGAATTGTCGTCGTTGGAACATATGTTGGATAATCTCGTTCAACACTCAAATATCGATAAGGTGTTTTTGTTTGATGTTAATTCAAAAATATACGTGGCAACAGATTCACTGCCGGTTGATATACAAACTTATGAAGTATGTGCTGAATTCATTGATATAACCATTGACTTGGATGATTTGTATGTTGAAAGTGAACAAAGCAACAGCAAAACCGGGCTCAAAAGTGGTGGTGGCAGTAAAGAATTGAGATCGGTCAGTCATCTATCAAGTGGGTCTACATTATATTTGAAGCAAATGATTAGAGGATTGGCTTTGGTGGCTTTGATTAGGAATGAAAGCTCAAATGATACTGCATCAGACACAGAAAAGTCGTTGACAATCATTGAATACAATGTTGATTTGTTCAAACAAGCTTTGATAAAGATGTGGACTCAAAGCAATCGCTAAATCGAATGGTGGTGTGTGTGCTAGAGCTAAAGGTAAAATTGAGTATACAGTTTTACAATGTGTGACAAAGGGACCTAAAATATGGTTCTCTGTTTGTAACATATATAGAACTCAAAGGAACAACTCTTTCATTCATACTACATGATAAATTCGAAACTGAAGTCTGTATTAAAGCATCTATAAAACTGATCTTCAACTCCAGGGTCCTCCCTTCTGTGCATATGAACAAAGTCGCCAATAAACAAATTCCATAAAAAAGGATGAATTTATACGACTTACACACATTTCTCTCAAACTTCCATCCCACGTTCGACGAACTTCAAAACGGCAAGATTTTCCGCAATCGATCTAGTAGGAAATGAGTTTTGAAAAAAAAAAAAGGGGCGTATTGAAAAGAAACCAAAAATTAAAAGACCCACACTTTCTGGTCCAACAGCCTCCGCAGCAAGAACAACTCCTCCAAATCAACCTGACAAGCAGGCGAGATATCAAAGCGTTCATACACCACGGAAAAAAAAACTGCTGAACCATTAATGAAAGTTGGCATTTTTCAACCCATGGCGGTCTTCCCACTCCACAAACATCAGCTCCGAAGAGACATTCAGTAAGGGCCTGGGAAATGTGCAATGCCTCTGGATCTAGTAAATGATTGCAAGACTACTTGATCTCCTGCAATATCTCAAGGTAAGTATGAAGAAGAAAAAAGAAGAAAAGGGAAAAAAAAAAAAAAAAATTGTGGTGGGAAGGGTGAAGTATTTATACTTGCGTACTCGCATAGAAAAAAAAGGAAAAAAAAAAAAAAACGATAAATTGGTGGACCTACCACTGATACTACACACATCAATCAATTTTATGGATCTATAAGCTGGTACTTACAAGCGTACATCGATTCCTTTCCGGGATTTCTCACATAGACTGAAGCATTAGGGTTCTTCTCCATGTATGGCGTCACGAATACTGCTCCAATTCCCGTAAATTTGCCCTCGTTCAAATTCAAACCACCGGTTGTGACAAACCCGACAACATGTATATCCTTGCAAACATTTTTGTCATAAATTCGAGCATTGTTTTCAATGACCCCTTCTCTCAAAACTTTGAGCACAATTTTAGTAACAGGAAGATTTACTTTAAACACCCCTTGAGAATCCGTAACATTTTCCATGATGATCAGTTTTGAAGTCAAACCTCTTTGAAATAGTACAACACTTTTGTACTTGTTCTGATCTCTGTTTGCAGATACAAGTTGGGCTAATTTTACTGTAAAAGAGTCTCCAGGTAACTCTGAGTGAACCAGAGATCTTGCAGTATCCTCAATCAATCCCAATCCCGGCGACTGCTTTGCGTACATTGCACACCTCAAAGTATGCCAATCACAGGTGTATGCATCGTAAACGGTGCTGAAACGATTTTCTGCCTTCTGCAAGGACATCACCTTCTTTGGTTTTTTAGCATCTGTCTCACGACTCAATTCTCCAACTATGCAATTATACTTTTGTCCTTCATCTGCCCATGGGTAATCATACGGATATGTAAACTCATGGCTTTCGAAGTTGAACTGATGAAGCTGCCTCAATCCTCCTGCTTTGATCTCCGGGATTTTGACCAATTGGGTCCAAATGGGAAGGGTCCAAAACCAAGGGCATAATAAGGACCATCTTTGTAAGGCAGTCTTGGTCAATAGAAGTGGTATTTTGCTATGCAGAACTTTCTCGAAAGGTGTGCCGTGACTTTTAATCTTGCCCAAGTCCTTGATCGATAACTGGTTTTCGTACGACTTATACCTTCCCTCGGCTGAAAACAACGATTTAATTGTAGAGGGTTCAACGAATGATTCATTGTTAAGTTGAATAACAGTGTCGTAAATATCTTGTTCTGACTTTGTGGGAAATTTTGTGGGCTTATTCCAAAGCCGAGGGTCATAGCATTCAAGTGTTAATGTCGTTCCTATTGGTATTAATGAACTATCGCTGTGTGAAGACAACGACGCCCAAACAGATTTCAACTTGTCCGAGGCGTTTCTTAAATGTAAAACCTTGCTTAGATATTCCAAACTCGAAGGGCCAGACAAATCAATACTACCTATACTGTATCGACAATCAAAAACATCAGTCACTTGCGAGTGTCCATATTCGCTGAACGTTCCCACAAATTTCTCGTAATTGTCAGTTAGAACTTGCAAAAATATTTGATTACTTTCAGGTGCAACGTAAATCGTGCCATAACCAATAGGCGCGGATTTATCATGGATCAATCCAGTGCAAGACTTTTTGCCATTCAAGATTGCCAAAGGTATAGGCACGGGCCCAATACCCAATAACTCGTGTAAATAATAGGTTATATTTGTATTCGGCTTCATTGTGAGTATCAAGCATCCTCGGTATGAAGTATCAAAGCAAACAGCCTTGTGTCTATTTTGTCTATTCATCAATTTGAAACATTTTTGTGTGGGCGTGTACGGCACTTGAAAATCAAACTGCTTTGACATCTTAAATCTTTTAGCATGCCAGATGTGAGTTGGAATCCACGAAAACTTTTGTTGTCGTGAACCGTACTTTATGCTTCTGGGTGGAGGTTTGGCAATAGAATTTTCGGTCGAATGATCGAATGATCCAACATCATTATTGAGTCTTCTTTCCAGTGGCCTCCACTTTTTATCCAACTCCTTGGACACTTCTTTGTGAAGAGCACGTACATTGAGTTTCTTTAAGATATCATCTGGAGTGTGTCTCTCCTTCTTCAATTTTGACGCCACCTTCAATAATTTCTGTGTGTGCAACAACTTGTATAGTCTTCTGCCCTTGGCGACTTTTCGTGGCGGGCCATTAGCTCCTTTCATTTCTCTCAAAGCTTTTGCTCTCAACCGCTTGGGAATACGACTGATATGATGCGACGCGGCCCTCCGCCTCATCAGTCGAGGCAAGTCCTGAAAACATCGTGAGTTCAATGCTTGTTTACTCTTCAATTGTGACGACTCAAGCGCATTTATTTCGTACTTTCTGGACTCAAGAAATTCAGGTACATTCAATTTCGTATCCAGTTTGTCATAAGATAGGTCAGTGATCTGTGCTTTGATGTTTCGACTGTTGTAAAGCCTGGTTTTCTTTTTGTTCAATTGCGACTTTCCGGGAGTTCGTTGGTTGTTGCTCATGGAGGATAGACTCTGTTTAGAAACAAGGTTCGTCTTGTGGGCTTGTTGGAAGTGGAGTATGATCTTTTCCCTTCCTAGAACACAAGAAAGGAAGAAAAAGAAGGAAAGAAGAAAAAAAAAAAAAAATAATCCCTTCTCTTTTTTGGCTCTTCAATATGAAATACCTGTACAACTATGATACATGGAGTAATATTGCCGTAACATATCTACTTTAAGAGCTATGGGTTGAGTAAAACTGCAAAAAAAAGAAAAAAATTAAAGCTAGAGATGCTCTCAGCAGGATTCGAACCTACGATCTCCTCATTACTAGTGAGGTGCCTTACCAACTTGGCCATAAGAGCAAGTACAAAATCTTCGATGTCTTGAAGAGATGTTTCATGTTTGTGCTTTCTCAAATGACGTGATTCTTTTTTAACATTTAGACCATATAAAAGGAGCCCAAAGAATATCATGCCTTTCTGAAGCATAGGAGCTAATGACGTTAAAGTCCCCTTGCTCCCGGAATGTCTTGCGGATGACATATTCTATCCTTATGTAGTTGCATATATTTTGTTCTAATTTTCTGTATAAAATTGGTTGCAAAAATAGTTTCTCAGTGTACTGTTTCTGAAAATTCCAACTTGAACCTACTGACAGCACCGCATGTAATAGTTACGTTGTTTTACGTTCTTAGTCCTACGATAAGAGCCATTTCGGTGATTATAATCACGCATCTGTTTTTCTAGAACTCGTGTTTATGATCAAGGACAAAAAGTACCTAGTCTAAGTTTATGTAATCACATGAACTCACCAGCCGTCTCCCCAACCATCCTCTTCTCCATCATCACCTGTTTCAACTGCTAAATTCAAATTTAATATGGGCTTAGGCTTGTTTGCTTCCTTCTTTGCACCATGTCCTAATCTCAAAGAAGCTGGTTTTTTGGCGCCGAGTGGTTTTCTTGTCGACCTTATTCCTCCTTGAGCTGTATGTATATCAGTTGATTTACCAAGATTCAATTTACGAACCGGCTCGACCAAGGGTTTTTGGTCATCAGTTTTGCCGAAACCGGCATCATTGTCCAACCAACCCTCGTCAAATTCGTCGTCATCCCATTCCTGACTTGTTGCATTTCCCAAGGAGTTATTTATATTGTCTACATCTCGGGGAGTCTCCAATATTGGCAATTGTTGCTGTGTGGGAGTCCCGATTCGTGTGATGTCTGGTGTAGATTTATTGAAATCTTTGTTCAATTGTCCAGCAGGAGCCGCCATGTCTGTGGACGAGGCCCCACCACTAAAGGAAGCCAACTTGTTAACCACGCCCCATCCGAAATAGCCTCCATTTGATGCGGAATCGGAATTCGGTAATGGTTGTTGATCCTGCGAAATCTTAACCTGATCCTGGGGCTGAGCTTGAGGCGCAAATCGTTTGTAAAATTCTTTTTCTTCCTCATCCTCATCTGGTTCCACTTCCGGCAACTCTTTTGCGTGTGTCTCCACTGAATTCAAATATAGATCAAACACATGCTTGGCTTCTTTCCGAACTCTTGCTGATTTCTTATCCATTAAGGATATAGCAAGGTGCCCCAAAATTTTTGAGCATATCTCTTCCAACGAAAACTCATCAATCAAAGATTTAAATCCATTCAATGCAGCCATCTTACAAGGAACAAATGAGTCACGCAATGACTTTGATAGGGCAGTTATTAGCACATTATTCTTTGAATTTGCGTAAATTTTGGATGATATCTTGACAATCAATATCAACGTGTTTACTCTTATTGAAGGCTTAGGATCCATTTGCGATTTGGCTAGAATACGGAGCAACTCCTGATTGACTTGCTTTACTGAAATCTTATCAATAATAATGGTGATTGATTTCAACGTTGTTTCTCTAATCATGAAGTTAGTATCTTGAAACCCAGTAGTTAATGGAGTAAAAATCTTGGATTGTATTTCTGAATCCGAAAGGAATTCTTGATATTCGGGCAAATGAGTCAACAACACCAATCGAATAGATCTATCCGCAAGATTGAAGCTGTCAAAAATTATGGGCTTGATCTGCTTGTTGAATTCCTCGGCTGTCGATTTCGATCCAAATTTGACAATAAAGTTCAAAATGGCAGTCAATGTTTCTTGTCTTGCAACAGGATCAACGGCGTTTGGTTCAGTTGACGCACTGGATGTAGCAGAACCATTTTTTAACAGCTGCTTATACTGGCGAATCAATTCCGGAAGTAGCTTGTAATTCAACATTCCAGGCGGATATATATCGTCTTCGATATAGTATGGCAACTCATCTTTGAAAAAGGTAATTTTATCGCGGTCGTTCATAAACTGCAATTCATGCAATTGATGATCAAATTGAATTACCTTGTTTTGTTGGTGGAATCCGTCTAGTTCCTTGATAAATGTAGCAATCGTGGAACGTTTTGCGTGTAGTCTCTTTACAGGCCCTACCAACTTGACAGGCAATTTTGCCGAAGTATCAACAGCACCTCTTCCATTAAACACTGCATACACAAGACATGCCAATCTGAACCCATCGAATTTCTTGGGATTTTGCCTAATGAAATCATGATCCATACCCTCTTGTTGGAAATGAGGTAGATATTGACTTAATCGGTAAATGGGTTGGTCAGGGTCGGATGCCAAATTTGTAACAACTTCAAACCCCATCAATTTCCAATCACCCAGACGATTTACAAAAACCGAATTGAAAAAGTTTAATCCTCCATACACCGAATTACAATCATCATTGATGAACTTCAAGGATTTTTCAACTGAGAAAAGCCCAGCAACTAGCGCATCACTTTCTAAAGCATGTGTATCCAAATATTCTGCCAAGGGAACTACCCTTTCTGTTACAATATACAAAAAGGAATCGTTCTCGATAAAGTCAACAATTGATATAATCCCAGGAAATTTGATTAACTTCAACTTCTTGAATGCATTACGCGCTAGCGATTCATAGCGCTGTGTCTTGGGTTCATGAAGATTGAATTCAAAGATTGATATTTCGGAGGAGTCCTTTGGATTGACACCATTGTACAAGGTCCAAACTGAATTCTGATCAGTGTCTAGTTTTGACGGCGAGGGAGTGACAGGATCAACTACTTTCTCTTTGAATGTGTAGGGTATGGAAGAGCCAGTGAATGTACTCAATGTCTTGCTCAAGAAGTTCATCTCGTTGAACGCAAGTGAACTGGACTCGTATTAATGCTTGCTCTGATATCAAGAAAAATTTCCAAGGTGTCAACAATGATTTTGTACACCCTTTTTCAATAGATGAATATCGCGCCTCAATCGATTGCCGTTTCAAGCACCAACTTGCAAATAATGCAAGGAACAGAGATAGTGCACAGTTACGCCATTAACATGTACATCCTCTAACCTACACACCTACATATTCTACTCCATTTCAGACTTATTTCAACGCTAGTAAAAACTTACTCTCATCCTCACCAGAGAAATGAAACAACGTTTTCAACACTGGCAACAACTGCTCTCGCTGTTCCTTATGCTCAAAATACCCAAGTAAAACATTCTTCAAGTACGCAATGTTCGTGTCGTTGTTCTGCTTATCATTACCCGCGTTTTCACCGGTAACCTCCTCCTTGTTTGCATCCACCGATGCCATCACGCTTTCAGCTGACCCGCGTCGACTCTCGTTGTCCTTCATTACTCTGTACTGCTGAGTTAGCATTTTATAATTTTTGGAAAGTCTTTCAAATTTGAGCATGCTCTCTTCGTTCAATTTTTTCAATGTGGCATTCAACTTCTCGTACTCTTTGATCCTGTTGGATGACGCCGCTAACGCTTCCCTCAACGTGTCAATCTGCAGCTGCAATCGGGAATCACTGTGATGATCGGTGCCCCCCATTGAGTCCGTATGTGGTACAGAATCCACACTACGTACCCTCTCTTCAAGCTCCGAAATGCGTGCTTGCCTGTCCTTCAACACCGCGTTCAAGTCGTCAATTTCCTTCTGCTTCTTCTTCGCCAACTGACTACTGCGTCTCTCCAACTCAGTCTTTTCCTCATCGAGCCTACTAAGCTCCTGCTTGTGTTCATTCTCCTTCTGTTTCATCATTTCGTCACCCTCAATCAACAACCGTCTCATGTTTCGTCCCTCTCTTGTTTTCTCTTGTAGCAAGTTCCGACTCTCAGACAAGTCGTCCTCCAAACTTTCAATTCGTAGGTTGTATTCCTTGGCTTTCATTGTCAATTCATCAAACTGTCTCTTGTACAGCTGGACGTCATTGCTAGCTGACAGTTTTTCAGACAACAATGACTCTAAACTGCTGCGTGTTTTGTCCAACTCATTACGAATCTCCTGTTTCTCCCTTTGTAGCTTAGACAAGTGTGCGTTTAGTGACTTTTCATTTTCGATGAATGACTCCTGCTTGGTTAAGAGTTCGTTTTTGTTTTTGAGTAGCCCCATGTAGTTGGCCTGTAGTTCAGTGTTGGAGTTCTCCAACCTGTCGATTTTAGCCTGTAGTGTAGTATTTTCTTCACTCAAAGAGTCCGTTTTCGACTTGAGCTCCTTAATTGTTTCCTCCTTGCGAGCGAGGTTCGACTGCAACGACGAGATTTCCAACTTGTAAGAAGTGTCATTGCTCTTGAACTTGGATAACTCTTGTAATCGCTCCTCCAACTTCGCCCTTTCTTCTTTCTGTCCTTTCAATTCCTTCTCACTAGAGTCAAGCTGCTCAGTCTGCTTCTGCAAACGCCCCTTCAATTCTTTGACCTCCTTTCGAAGATTGTCTTCGGATTGCTTGTTAGATAGCTTCTCTTCGTGAGATTGGTCTTCCACGCTACGAAGCCTGCTTTGCAATTCTTTCGCTTCCTCTGTTTTCTGTGCCAAACTGCCCTTCAATGACTTTACCTTGTCGGTTAGTGAGGCTATCTGCAGGTTGAGCTTGCTTTCGAGTTCGTCTGCGGAGGAAGACACCTTCCCGTTGTCCTCACCTGCCTCTCTCAGCTTCAACTCCTTGATTTGATCTTTTGCCGTCACCAAGTCGTTTCCGATATCCTTCATCAGATCTCTCAAATCCTCAATTTCGTCTTGCTTCTCCTTCAAGCCTCTATTTGCTGATTGAAGCTTTGCTGCGAGATCTTCCAATTCCTTGTCCTTGTCTTCAATAAGCGTTTTTAGCTCCGTGGTGCTCACTTTAGAGTCTTCTTCCTTCTGCTCTACTTCGGCCGCAGTAGTGCCACTGGATTCTTCCAACTGATGCACTCTTTTCTCAAGCTTTTCTTTCTCGTCCTTGACCACTACAGCCTCCTTTCGATGCTCATCCACCTGTGCTTTTAACCCGTCGTTTTCCTTTTTCAAATCCTCAATTCTTTGAAGCACAGAATCCTCACCTTCCTCCTCATACTTGGCGATCTTGAACGTGAGTACCGAATTCTCCTTGGTCAACTTCCTGATCTCATTGTTTTGCATCTTGGTTTTCTCATTAAGTCCATTGAGATAATCCACAAGTGTCTTTGCATCGGATATCGACGAGACCGGCGTATGCTCCCGTAGCACATTCTCAAAGATTTTGATCAACTCGGTCTTCTTCTTTTCCACTTTGTACGCTTCCAACAAAACGGGGTACTTTTCTTCATACTTGGCAAACTTTTTCAACTTTGATTTAATAGCAGGAGGCAATTCCTCAAGGTGTACCGCATTTGGTGCACCGACAGGGGGCGTACCTGGCTTCGAATTGATGGCGCTCTGGTCTCCATCGTGGTTGGAAGGTGTTGTCCCTCGCGACTGCTCACCCGGCTCTATCTCGTCTTTGGGCTGAGTCAATTGACTGGACTCGGGCGTCTCTGCTTTTAGTATTCGTGCATTTCGCTGTAGCTGTTCTAGCGGATCTGATCTCTGTTGTTGTTGTTGTTGTTGTTGTTGTTGTTGCGCCTGCTGCTCAGCCAAATCATTCAAGCTCTTGGCCACGTCCTCGGAGAAATTTCGGATCTTTGAAAACATGATTTTGGGGTAATGGTGGAGGCGATGCCTTGGATAGCGAACGTGGTTCAGTAGGTTATCTCCTGTGAATTAGCTGTGACCTGTAGCTCGGTGGAGAATTCATTTTTCAGTGGAAGCTTTTGTGTTATCGTTCAAGTGTCGGTACGAAATTGGACTTTACTTCACGAACCGCTGCCGCCACCACCACCACCACCACAGATCACACAACATGCCACGAAGTAAGAGGGAGATCGAGGCCCTACTTTACAAAATAGACGTTTTGGTCCAACAGATTGCCGAAACCATAGATGAGAGAGCAAAGTTGCGGGAGCTAGGACTAGTGCCTTCTGCCAATGAGAACGAGGAGTTGAGCAACATGATACACAAGACGGTGCAGAGCTTGGAGACAGCACAGGTGGAAGTGGAGCAGCAGAGGGATGAGAATCTTCAATCACATCTCCGCAGTCTCTCCAACAACTACACAGACGTGCACGCAGCACTTACAGACTCTGGAATCGATGCACCAGAGTTCAAGTACGAGACACGCCCACCACCCAGAGCAGCTCCACCTAAAGCAGTTCCACCTAAAGCAGCACCATCCAAAGCCGTCCGATTCAAGGACGTGCCAGATGAATCTGACACATCGGAAATGATGGGCACACAGCCCTTTCAGCCCTACAGAGATGACCCAGAAGACTCTTTACAAGAAGAGGTTGACTCCCGATCAAACCACCAGATGTTTGCCGAGCATCAGCAGACAATGATGCGCCAGGATCAAGATTTGGACTACTTACACCGGCTGATAAGTAGGCAGCATCGAATGGGAAAGGATATCGACCAGGAGTTGGACGAGCAGTTGATAATCTTGAACGATTTAGAGCAAGGTGTTGACAATTCGAGCCACAGAATACAACGAGCCACCACCAGATTGAATAATTTCAGGCGGATGGCGAGGGAGAATGGAAGTCTAACTACAATCATAATTCTAACCGTCATTTTAATTCTTTTATTAGTTGTACTTAATTAGACAATTGCACACAGCTCACTCTATCAAAAGTTGAACTCGTCGTTCTCCTCCTCTTCGTTGTTGAAAAACCAGATGAATATGATGATATCTGAATACACAATCAACCCTCCGGTGACACTTAGGATGAACGATTCCAACCCTATTAAATAACAGTGGTACAAGCTCCATGGCAAAGCAATGCCGCTGACGATCAACACACCCGTGGTGAACCTGGCAAACTCTTGCAACGGACTAGCATTGCCCTCATTGGAAGTCCCGTAGTCATTAAATGTGAGGAAGTTGTTGTCTCTGGAGTTTTCTATAGCGTTTGCTATTATGTTTGGAAGTGGTGCCGAAAGGAAAATGGCAATGACCCAGAGCGGTTTATAGTTGTTGTATAAGGCACATGATAGAAGGATCAATAGGAACCCCGACGCAAGAAACGCAGATAGGAAGATGATTTTGTTCAATGGGTTCATGTGGTGATGAAGCAGACCAGAAGTGAGACGGTGTTTTGGCGGCTGAGCTGATTTGAGTTTAGTGCTACCACTCACACTGGAGAATACCCCCCACCTACAACAAAGTCAACCAAATGACAAACATCTTAACACGATATAGCTATATACACAGTGTAGAGCGCACTTCTCTCCGCACCCAGAATTAAAAACAAACCATCCCATCCAACCCCAAGTCCGCCTTCGCCTTCGCCTTGGATTCCCTCATTTCCAAAACCAACCCTTATTTGCGCCACTTCCGGTAGGAGTGCTTTCAGTGTGCTCCTCAACGTTGACCCAGTCGGTGGCACCAATCGGCTTCAGTTTAGTGACCTTGGTGACAACACAGTTGCCGTCATTGAAACACTCTTGTCTAGTCTCAAGATACTTTACTTCGTTTGTGTCCGAGTCTGTGAAAACATTAGACTTGACCGACGTTGACGTGACATACCTGCCACTACTGGAAGCTTCACCCTGCTTCTGCTTCAACAGCTCCAACACTTTGGATCTCTTAGCTGCCCTAGCTTTGGCGTCTTCCTCTCTCTTCTTTTTCATTTCCGAATACTTTTCGTGCCTCCAAGCCAAGTAATCCTCATAAGTGTTGAAAAATGTACCTTTGTCTTTCAAGTCAATCACTTTGCTGCTGTCGCTCACTCCAAGCTCACTCATATACTTGAAGAAATCGTCTTTCGAAACCACTGAATCTCCGAAATACTTTTTCTTAAAATCCAACACGTCTACCGGAACTTCAGCTTCAGGAAAGAGACATCTCCAGTACCCTTGATCATCCCACAAGGCCCTTCCTTGCTTATCCAAGCACTCGTTGTATTGTCTCGTCGATGGACCCTTGTAAGCGCGATATCCAAAGGGAGTAGATCCCAACAGAGGGAACCGCGCCCCAAAGCTGTTTCTCCATAAGCTCAGTAAAGGCAATTGGCGTGACTCCAAAGACAAGTCGGGATCCCTGTTTTGATAAAATGGAGGGAAGTTGAAAAAGTGTGGCTTGTGCACACCATCAACGTCGTCATCTGCATCTCTAGGATTGAATAGCCAAGTAGAGGACCACTCTCTTGCCTTTTCATTCAAATCTCTACCTGCATCAACCGAAACATCAACTACGGCATTAGTCAAGGCGCCAATGTTTGACAATATCTTATCAAAGCTCTCCACATACTTGTCCAAGTCAGTGGCAGTATTTGTGGAGACAGAATCTGTCTTGTCTGAAAACTCATTGAATAAAGATGACTCCTTGCTGTGCTTGTTACACATGATGGTAGTATTCAACGTGTGTGATTAATACTTTTATTGTCTTTTTGTGAATACAGTAATTTGATGAAGTGTGACGCAGGAGTGAGATTTTCTGTGGAGCACTCACCCCCTTGAAATGAAACTTCGGACTTCGCTACCACATGGTTTTCTAGAACGCGGTGGAAAATTTGATTTTTTTTTTGAAAGCATCAAGGGCTTGCAAGTCAACTATCAGATACTGAATGTTGAGGTATCCTACTCGCTTGGATTTTCGATCACATGTGTGGCACTTTGTTAAATGTCGCTTTTACAGCCAAATCAATCTAGAGGAGCTAGAAGGGTCAAAACGAAAGTCAATTCATCCCTATAGTCCGGCGCGGACACGATTTGCTCCTTCACCAACAGGATTTCTCCATCTTGGGTCATTGCGTACAGCATTATACAATTACCTACTAGCTAAAAACACTGGGGGACAATTCGTGGTTCGACTAGAAGATACTGACCAAAAGCGGCTAGTGGACGGAGCAGAGAGAAATATTTTTGACACTTTGGATTGGTGCAAGTTGGACATCGATGAAAGTCCGGTACATGGCGGGCCGTATGGGCCATATAAACAATCTGAACGTAAGGAGATATATCAAAAGTACGCCCAGCATTTGTTAGATCAGGGGCTCGCATACAAGTGCTTTTGCCCAAAAGAGAGACTACTCGAGCTACGAGAAAGTGCGAGGCTATTGAAACCTCCCACAAATGTGACATACGATAGAAAATGTCTCAGCAACAATGATTCAGGAAACGGGTCTTATATAATCAGATTCAAGTCGCCACATAATTATCCCAAAATTAATGATTTGCTACATGGAGAGCTAAATTTGCAACCACAATATAACTCCAAGGATCAACGATATGATGATTTTGTAATTATCAAAAACGACGGCATGCCAACTTATCACTTTGCAAATGTTGTAGATGATCATCTCATGAAAATAACACACGTTATACGAGGAGATGAATGGCTCCCGTCTACTCCCAAGCACATCGCTTTGTATGATGCATTTGGGTGGTCACCACCTAAATTCATACATATACCCTTGTTGACATCGCTCCAAGACAAGAAGTTGTCCAAGAGGAAGGGGGACTTCAATATTTTGCTGTTGCGTGAACAAGGAATACTACCACAAGCGTTGGTTAACTTTGTTGCTTTATTTGGTTGGGCACCCCCAAGAGAATTGAATGTAAAGTCAAGTGAACTTTTTGACTTGGACCAATTGGTTAAATTGTTTTCATTGGATCAATTGACAAAAGGCAACGCCAAGGTTAGTGATTCAAAGTTGCATTTTTTGCAAAAGGAACACTTTCAAAGAGTTCTTCAAGACGAAAAATCTTTCAACGAGTTAGTGGATGAGTTCTATCCTGAGTTTGCAGAGCTTAGTAATGGCAAGAGTAAGGAGTACTTTTTGAGATTGTTGCATGAACTTGGTCCAAGCTTGGACAGTATTGATGGGGTCAAAGATCATAGATATCTCTTTGAGAATGTGGATTACACGAATGTTCGAGCACCAAAAGATGCACATCTAGCGAAAGTGATCGTGGATGATATCCTAGAGCACGGAATCAACGATGCAGTTGAGAGATTAACTACTCAAGGTTTGCCAAAGAAACTCGTTTTCATGACCTTGAGATCGGCACTTAGTGGGGGCAAACCAGGCTTGCCAATACCGGCGTTGATATCTTTATTAGGAGAAAAAGAATGCTTGAAGCGTTTAGTCTCGTTTAAGGATACGCTCTTGTAAATAGTCTATGTAAATAACAAACTTACACGGGTACTAACCTGTTAACGTAATCCAAAAAGCCATTCTCGCGTTGATCATTATTCTCTTCAATCATTGGACCAGTAAAGATGCAATGAACAACCATATCTGGATGATAGTATAACCCTGTCAACAATTTCGGAGTCACCAAAAAGTATTGAGACTTGTTATTCTGGCATGCAGTATGAACAAGATATCTGTGCGCCATTTGCTCATTCTTTGGATCCATACCTTGATTGATCTCATCCACTATCCTGAATGGAGCGTCACTCAAGCCTTGTAAAGACATGATATAGAAAATGGTTGAAACAGCTCTTTCACCACCTGATTGTGATTGGTTATCCAATACTTTCAATTCCGACTCCAGTCTAAACTTGACCAAAATTTGCAATTTCCAATCTTTGAATCGGTCAGCTTTTGCTAAAGCAACTTGCCCTTCGCTCGCAACCTTGGCAAACCTTCTGCTAAACGCAACTGATATCTTGTCCACAAACTTTGACAAATCACGATCCCACTCAGTCGAAATAGTTTTGATACGTTCATCCAAGGAATGTTTCTCAGATTCGAGTTTAGGCAAGTCTGTTTCTGCCATTTCAATGTCTTGCACGATTTTACGCAACGTTGTGATTGACCCCTGATCACCCATTGACATAACTGACAATTCATCATCCAAGTGATGGATTTTGGTTCTTATGGTGTGTTCGGTAAACGTATCGGTATCGAGATACGGTCTTGCAAATTCAGCAATTTGTTTCCTTTCGTCTTCAGTCAATGATTCATGTTTTTCTCTATATTCTCTGTATTCCGGAGAGTCCTTTATTTTATTATACTCGGCCTTGTATTTTGCAACGTCAGATGCTAACTCTTTTTTGATCAGCTCAAGAGCCCCTATCAACTCAAAGGCAGAATCCAATTTGTTGCGTAGGGTAATCAACTGAAGCTCCTGAAACTTGCACTTTATTTGAGCATCTGAAAGGAGAACGTGTTGCTGACTCAAAACCATAGATTGTTGTGCTAATTCACCGTACAATTCAGCTATCTTGTGCTCATGATGCCTCACCTTACGCGAATAATCCTTGTTTGAATCTTCCTCCAACTTGCGCTCTTTTTCCTTTTTGGAGCTGATTTTGGCTTCCAAATTTGTTACCTCACTCATCATCCTTTGTACTTCTTGTTGTTCATTCTTAATTTCAGACATCTCATACCGGATGGTGCGGACATCGGATGAGTACTGCTCAATCTTGCCTTTGTGGCTCTGGTAGACTTCCCTTTTCTCCGAGATTTTGTGATTGAGGCTAGCCAAGGTACTATTGATTCTTTGCCTGTCTTGATCTGATATACCAGAAACGGCAAAAAACTGAGACTTTCCGCCAATCTTTTCTGATTCGTAATAAACCTGTTTAGAACCATACTTTGATGCATGGATATTGAACAAAGTATCACCAGCAACAAATTTTTTAAAAGTGATGTCGGGTGATTTCGTCAACCTATCAACCTGCTGCGGACTCAATTGATTCTTGGTCACTGGTATAGTGTGTATCTTGGCGGTGTTGTAAATCATATGAAGTACTTCTTTCGGACCAGTGAGAAAGTCAGACAAGTACCCATCAAATCCAAAAGATCTTAGCTCGTTTTGCGAATAACGAGGTCTAGGCGGCTCATCATTATCAACTTTTCTGAGTGGAATGTTTAATCTCGTTTGTTTGGAAAAATTATTCATTTTGTCATAAGCTTGTCCTGTAGTTGTTGTAATAGCAAACAAAGTGTTGTTGTCAATTATCTTTTCCATAGCTGGTGCTAACGATTTGTCCGTAACATTACAAGATATGACCGGAGCCTCAAAGTAGGTAAAGTCAAGATTGGCCATATCTCGAAGCTTACGGTGGGCTTTGAACGATTCATCACGAAGTCGGTAGCTTTTTCCCTGAGCTGCCGACAACAACAACTCCAATTTGTCATTTCCTTGTAGTTTAGATTCCTCACGTTGTACATTTCGTGTCAAATTATTCAAATCTGATCGCAAGTCACCCGTTTGATTGTTTTCTTCTCGAAGTTTCTCCTCCGTCTCTCGCAACCTAGCTCTTGTTTCAGCATATTTCGTGTTGAGAGCTTCTAGTTGCTCCTTATCGACCCGTTCAATGCTCTCTAGTTGAGTAGTCAAAGTCGCCAACTCTTTTCTGACTTCCTCCAATTCACGCTTCTTCAGGTCTGATTTTTCTCGATAGCCTTTCAAAGAGGCAAGCAGATCAGATATGGCATCTTGTATTTTACTGACATCGCGTTTGTAACCATCGATTTTCTTCATCAAGACATCTCTCTCCTTAAGCGCGTCCTGATGATTTCTTCGTTGAGACTCGATAGCACCTTCAAGACGAGACACATCGTTCCTCAACGGATCAAAATTCCTGTCAAAAGAAATATACCTGCGTTTGGCTTGGTCCCATTGTTCTTTTAATTCGGTACGCTTCTTTTTCAAGTCATTATACCTGGCATAGGGTAACATAGCCTTGTGGGTTTCAATCTCCTTAACTTTTCTGTCATAATCTTGTAGCTTTTGAACTTCTTCTTCCAACTTAGATCTCTGTGTGTACAAATGTTCCAACCTCGTCTTTATTGCATCAATCTTTATGAGATAATCCTGACTGATAGCATCCTTTTCTATCAAGTCTTCATGTAACGCGAGTAGGCGACCATTTTTCAATGTTCTTTCGGTCTCCAATAACAACTTCTCTGGCGACATCCCTGCAAATTCGGCAACTCTCTCCTGCGGCAAGAAGTGGCAAAGGTTGTCTAGTTGAATATTAAACTTCTCTCTCAAGCTTTTCACTGCACTTTCTGTGCTTTTCTTGTTATCGATGCTCCACACTGAGTCTTTTGCTGAAAAGTCTCTCTTGATAACAAGAGGAGGTTTACCGGGAAAGTTCTCCATCGTAATTTCGACAACTGCTCTGTCATGACCAGTTTTGATCATTGACTTCAAGTTCTTTCGCTTGATTAGATCAATCTTTCCAGCAAGACCAATACAAATAGCTGCAACTAAAGTCGACTTTCCACTACCATTGGGTCCAATAATCATATTTAGGGTGGGAGATAAAACAAACTCGGTATATGAGTAAGTTGTGAAATTCCACACCTTGATCTTCCTTAAAAAGCCCGGCTGAAAGGAAGCTTTATCTCTAACTTTTCTTCTTTTCGACACATGCTGATGATCAGTGTCACTCATGGTACTGCCTCGATCCTATTGTAGTGATGAAAGAAAAGGTTCCAACCATGGGGGCCAATTTTTTTTTTTTTATTTATTTCCACTGTTATTTTTTTCTGTTTAGTATTTTGATTTTACGACGCGTTTTGAAAGCACAAAGGCATTGGATTAACTGAAGAGAATACCAAAGGAAGTTGAGGGATTCGCAAAAGACAAAGTCAGGCTGAAAAAGGTTGATCTTTACAGTCTAGGTTCAAGTATTCTATGCCTTTATTAATAATATGAGACGCTATACAAAGTTTGTAGATGAGCATGATCCCGCTGCCACTCTGTCAAAATACCCATCATTTGATCTTCTAATATTATATCCAGTTCGTCTTCAATCTCGCCCTTTTTCTCCTGTTGCTTCCTCTTGAAATCGTGGATCATATTGACGAGTTTCAAAATACCTTTACCACCAATTATAGCATTTTCATTATCATCCTTAATCTCGACATTTATTACATGAACCACTCTTTTCAAATCCAGCTGCAAGTTATTGTTGTACAATCTCAACATTAGATCTTCGAGTACGCTATCAAAGCATCTCTCTTCGCATGTTATAACCAAGTCAAATTTGCCAGCGTAGCTATTTTCTTGCCACTTTTCTGGAGCTGCTTTCACACTCTTGTTTCTCTCCAACATGTGCAACACACCATTCAGCTCGTACAATTTCCTAGCATTTTGACTTAGTAGTTCTTGGTAAATCCGTTCGTAAGGAGTACCAAAACTGTAGACATTTGGTTTATCAATGGATGGACCAGGTAACCTCACCGCAGAACCAGTACCAAAGGAATGAACATCGTAACCAGCATCCGACAATTGTTTGTGTGCCTCCATTGATCTGTTGTTGTTGGATGCACATACTGTACATATCTTGAGACTATCCATAATCATTGGGTATTAATGTGTGTTATTTTTTTTGATGATGGTGATGATGATTACGAGTTTTACACTTAGTCATCCAAAAAAAAAAAAAATAAAAGAAGTGCCATTCGGAAACATACAGAAGAGAAAAAAAGTTTCTGGAACCCAACGTCGTAAAAGAAGACGATGCGACAATAGAAAAAAAAAACGACACGCACCAATGTCGCAGTCTCATAAAACAGGACAATAAAGCATTTTTTTCATTGATTGCTACATCTGTGACACAAACAGCCACAACTTTAGCAGCACATGACTTTTTCTTTGCTTTGTTTGTGTCATTCCGCAATGTTCAAAAGTTTGAAAAAATTGACAATAATCTCCACCCTTAGTCCACTGATGTATATATATATATATACATATACATATATAGAAAGAGAGAAGCAGATGTTGAAGATTGTTTCGAGTAAAGTTTTCAACAATTGATTATACCTTTATACAAAAATGAATTTATCTACCAGTTACGTTCTTCAGCTTTACTTATTATTCCAACTTTGTCTCACTAAAGTTAACGGTAACCAAGTTGTGGGTGATGTGTTGTATACCCATTCCGGACTCGACTCCAAGATAATTGTTAGGGAAGTACGCGAGGGAAATGTTCCATTGGATTTGAAGATTGGCGATGTGGTCAAGAAGGACAACTTCAACTTTATTGTCAATTTGGATGCAGTCGAGTATATCCACAATCAAAAACTAGGAGCAAGTGAAGCAAAACAGGCGGACAAGTCTTTGATTCAGTTGGCTCAGAGGTATATCCCACCAGAAAGCTTGGCTTCAACCTCAATCACAGAGCGACTCTTTACTGGGGTAGCCAACTTGATTGCGCCATATGTTGGCAATGGTGTCCGTTTTATCTTTAACAACATCGTTTTCAGATATATTAAGTACGCTTACTTTTGGGCTTACCACATTTCAAAATACACAATAAAAGTCACTGGGTTGTATCTTGATACAGTTGACACTCCTCAAAAGTGTTTTTACGGTTTAGATTGGATCGAAACTCAAGCGCATGGGATTTATTTGGTTGGATGGGAAACTTTTACTTTGCATAATAATTGTCAAGAAACAATTAGTTCGAAATCCATTGAAACTATACTTTTACAAGCGCATTCATTCACCGACGAGGAGAGCCATTGCGAATTTTACAAGAATGACGCAAACGGAGACTCCGGTGAGTGGTATGCTGACATCCGCACCTTAACGAGTGTCTCAGAGGGAAACATTTGGGACTTGAAGTGTCCCAACTCTCCAGCAGACAATAAAAAGGAATCACTTTTGACTACAATTATGACCTTTTTCAAAACTGTCACATAATGGCCCAATAATCCTGCTTCTTCTCGAATATAGATTATTAGCTACAAAATTCTGAAATTAAAAAAAAACAAAGAAAGAAAAAAAATAAAATATCTATTCCTCCAAAACAATAAACTCTTCTTCGCTTTTGGGCACAGTCAAGTTGACAAAATCATCATCCTCCTGAACTTCCTCCCACGATTGGTTCAACGTCAAGTCCTGCTGCGACGTACTCACCAAAGGATGGAAATGTATAATTTTGTTTTCAATGCTTTCTTGTTTAAACTCTTTATAGTCTGTCATAGATTCAAGGAGGACCCCTACCATCATGGATGGATCTAGCAATGTTATATCGAGCTTGTTGTAGTTTGATGTGTGATAACTAGCAAGATTGAGTGGCGTCTCAACAACTTGTGGTAAATGTGGATCAAAATAAATTAGACTCTGCTCATTCTCGTACCCTATGAAGTAAAAGCTGGAGGATGGCTTGCCTCCAGCAATACCAACGGAGAATTTAGACGCCAATAATTGTAGGATACTCCTGTAGTAATATTTGTTAACTTGATCAATGCCCAACCGAACAGGAAATAATAAAAGAAGGGGCTTTTTTTCCTTTACAAACAAGTCATCGACTTCATCGTCATATAGGTCGGCATTTTCACTAATATAAACACACGGAACTTTAGTAGACGAAGCTTGACCTGTGTAATCAGCCACAAGCTGTCTTATTGAATAAGAAGCCGCATTGGGTCCAAACCACTGGCCTGGCTTGACCAGCAATGGCAGGTTGCTAGCCACTCGTATGAAATTGTGGATGGAAAAGGCAGAGCTGGGGTTATCTTGAAATAATTTAAGGATTTCCAATTGAGCAGTCTCATCTGGTTCATTTTTCAACTTTAGTAACGCATTTGCTAGTAGATTTTGCGACGTTCGTATCATGCACCCCCATCCGGCATCACTTGTGAAATTTTCATTGTCAAACAAGCTCCGCAAATTGCCAACATTGTTTAGCGTCAGCTTGCTAAATAAGAGGGATGGAAAGAATGTAACTGGCTGCGGTCCGTCCACGACTTTGGGGATGGGGGTAAAACCACAGCGATAAGAGAGCCACAACAAAGAGTGTATGTAGTCATTCGCTTTGTCTTGAATTGTAAAGTGTCTCCCTAAAACGACAACCTCACGCAGTTCGGCACTGTTGTTTTTTGTCGTCGGTTCAGTACACTCATTTGCTTCCTCAAATCCCAAATTGATACCTGGAATTCCTTTTAAAAAGGAGGTGAAACGGTCGAAGCCAGTCGTCGTCGTTGTCGTCGAATCAGTCAAGGATGATGTAGTAGCAGTTGTCTCTCCTACTTCTTGTGGCTCTGCTATCGACTGTAACTCCAGCATTGTGTGTGTGTGTGTATATATATTTTCAGTTGAATGGTATCTATCTCTCCCCCGATAAGCAATCGGTAATCCTGAACCTTGTCTTTTCTTTTTCTGGCTCAGTTGTTACGCAAAAGTAGAATTTTATTCTCCAGTGCGTTTACTCTGAGTTATGACGCACGAGGGAAGAGCGAGCCCGTGCGCGCGCGCGCGCGCAGAGCTTTTGATGCCATATATACAGAGCAAACAGAATCTTTGGTGGCAACAACACTATTGCTCCTGTACTCAGCACAAGTATATAATGCCTAGCAAAGGAAATAAAAGAGGAAGAGGATCATCAAGAGGTGGAAGAGGCAGTCGTGGCAGTCGTGGCGGTCGTGGCGGTCGTGGAGGGAGTCTGAGAAGAGGAAGATCAAGCAACAACAAATCGAGAAGTGGATACAACAATCCCAAATACAGCTCTTCAGCTCAGCACCAGTCGTTATTTGACCCAGACTCGTTATGGATGCCTACTGGAGAAATGGCGCAAGCAGGACATAACTACGGCAGACGGTCGTATGGGAAATTAGCTCAGGAAGTTGAGTATACAGCCCAGCATCATGATCAAACTATGTCACGAAAGTTACGAGATAGGCCAGTTGCGTTTGTCAAAGCCAAAGAGAAATACGACCCAAACGAGCTCCTATACAAGTTATCTGAGAAGAAACAAGAGGATCCGTTCCATACTGTCATAGATGAAGAATTTAAAAGTATATCTTTGGACTCTGGGGAGGAGGAAGAGGAATCAGAAGTGGAGGTATATGACGAAGAAGATTTTGAATATACTACCCAGGTGAACAAGTTGAGCGATGAGAATCAGTCTGCTACAGCTTACCCAGAAGAGAAAACACAAGAGGAAAACGCCGAAACCAATTCAAGTGAAGAAGAAGCCGAAGAAGATTCAGAGCCTGCACAGGTTCCGTCGCAGTTGGTTGCCGGCGATGCATTTGGGGTGGCCGAGCAGGCTGAAGAAGAAATGGGATCGAGTTTAATTTCTTCAGCAAGAGAGGAGAATGGAAATACCAACAATTCAGCTGCTAACCAAGATTCAGTTCTGACAAAATCAAAATTGGCAATACTGTCTCACACTCAGAGTGCAGAAGAAACATTGGCCACTGAAGAGAGAGAACATGGTCGTTCCAAGCACATCACTTCAGTGTCTGCGGATGATTCGTTTGACCAAGGCAGGCATGATTACGAAACCCAAGTAAAATTGCAAGGTGACGAACTAGATTTAGAGCCAGATGCGCCAACACATCATCCAACGGAGCAATCATCTCAAGACAATTCCAAGGACGAGTTGGAAATGTTTATAGACGATCCAAGATACACCGAAGAGCAAAAGATAGTACAGCAAAGTGAAGTTGCGGAAGACGCTGGAACACCACTTCAAACAGACAACGAACTTGATTATGGATTTTTACCGGAAGATTTCGAGTTTGATGTTTCGAAAATCTCAGTCACCAATGTTCGTTATGGAATTAATAATCAATATTATGCTAGATGTCATGAACTTACGGGATACGATCAAGAGTTTGTTTGGATAGACGAAGACGAAGTGATTGATTACGCATTGTCGAATGGGGTGAAGGAACATCGTTTAGCAAAGTTTCTATCTTATATTACATCAGGAATGGTTGATAAGGGTAAAGAGAATAACGACGTTGACGACGATCAGGTTTACATCAGTAGCGATAGTGAAGATGATGACGATTCAAATGATGATGACGATGAGTTCGATAAGGATCAAGACGACTATTCATATGACTCCGATGATAACTTAGACGACTTGATTCAATACTCGAAGTCAAGCACACAAGGTCTCGTGTCCATGCTAGATCGCGATTTCTCCAACAACATTCCAGCAAAGAAGCGACGCAATTTTGACAATCTTGGTATCGATCAAGATTTGCAAGATTCATTAACTGAACAAATTATCAATTTTCGCAAGCATAAAAGGGAACAGATAAACCGCCGTAATGCTCAAAAAACAGAAGATGCAATATTGAGCCACGATTTGTTGATCAAGTACCCTGACTCATTAACCATCTCTCAAATTGCACACGAATTCACTACTTTCTTACAAGATGAATCACGACCCACATTGAGTTTCCCAACCTTGGATTCACACGGCCACAAGACCTTGCAGAGCATGGCAGCTGCATACAATATGCAAACCGACAAATGCGGCGCACACAATATGCGCCACTATATCAAAGTAACCAAGACGAGGAAAACTTACAAGACTGTGCCCAATTTCAATAGAATCAACGCCATTATGCGTGGTCGACCCATATTCCATCGCATGGATGTGAAGCGCGAAAAGAAGAAGGATAGTAGTGGCGGCAGCACTAAAGGTAAACGTAGTGGTGGTGGTGGTGGTGGTGGAAATGACTCCAGGGCAAAGTTTAAAGAGGGCGATGTGGTGGGAGCCGAGGCGCCTGCTCTTGATCAACTGAATTTGGGTAGGATCATGTTGGAAAAATTGGGTTGGAGCCAGGGTCAAGGATTGGGTAAAGGAAATACCGGTATTAATGAGCCTGTTGTAGCTAAGGTGAAGATGTCAAAGACAGGTCTTCGATAGAGTGGATAGAGTACTTTTATATAGACTTTCAAATTGAAACTATTTTTGAACCTGATGTGCATGTGTAACTTGCAATCTCTCGATTTGGTCTATTTACGCTTACCTTTCTTCTTTTTTGATTTCGATTTTGAAGTCGATGCCGACGACGATGACGCCAAAGATGGAGCAGCAGCATGATTCTCCTGCTTGACATGGTGAAATAATTGATTTCGTGACTCGAACGATTGGCCACAAACAACGCATTTTTCAGCGCCACCATTACCACCATCATTGATACCACCATTGGAAGAGGGCAATTTCTCCTTATTTGGCGTGTCTCGCGAGCGCTGATCAGGTTGTGGCGATGAAGAAGTACTGATTTTCGACTTTGAAGTTGGTTTCTTCTTCTTCTTGGTCCTTTTGGTACCTGTATCCCAGTCATCATCCGAGTCATCCAATTTTGATTGGTTGAGAAGCTTTGCCAATTCTGCTTCTAGTTTATTCCTTTCCGATTCTTCCTCTGTAAACGGTTGAGATGAAGTTGGAGCGGCTGTGTTGGGCTCCTTGTCTTCAGCAGCAACTTTGCCATTATTTAGGTATTGCATAACACTTTCTCTTGTCTCTGGCACATCTTTGGGCTTCTCTTTGTCGAAATCACAAAACGAGCTACTTGTCTCTTCTTTTGTTTTGGAGCTAAAGTGCTTAGCCTCACCATTCTCGAGCTCATCTGTTGCTACTTCTTCATAACTCTCATCTTCAAAATCACTCTCTGCAGTCTCAAACGCCTCATCATCGTCATCTATTCCCAACTCAATTCCTTCCTGTTTCATTTCCCATTTCATTTGTCGCACAGCTTTCTTATGTTTCTTACTTTCTTCATGGATTTTAAACTGTTGTTCGTTTTTCAAAATCCGATCACATACAATACACTCAAACTCGTGGACTTCTTCAGCTCCACCTCCCTCGCCATCCTCGCCGTCATCATCACTGGCAAACTCCGAATCCGTACTAAAGTCATCACCATCATTACCATCAACGTTAGCAACACCATTTTCACCAACACCACTCAAGTCCACCTCATCAAGATCATACTCCTCAGCTAGCATTTGCTCCAATTCCGCCACTTCATCCTGATCCAACTTTTGCCAGCTTTGCTCCTGATACACTTGATCTCCATTCAATTTCTGTTTCTGTTTCATTAAATTCTGAAGCCGTATCTGCTGTTGCATATCCTCCATCTGCTTCTTTCGTTGTTGTTTATTAAACTCCTCCTGAGCAAGTTTGACTCGAGGATCTCGTTTCTTGACAAACCCAACAAACTTGCGTACAGTTTCATTGTACTCCTTCCTCGCATCATCACTAATCTTTTTATTCTCCCGCTCCATCAACCTCCGCGTACGTCGATCAGGCGCACTCGAATACCGATACTCGTACTTCCAATTAAACAGTTTACAAGTGGCGAAACCGGACCAAATTTGATAAAACTGCTTAATAGATAAATAATCAGCATGACTGTTGCCAAAAAGCGGGTACTTCAAATAACTAGAATCGATAGTGTACACGTTATTGTCATCATCTTTGTACTTGTAATACTCTTGTATGTTCTGATACCGTCCATGCTGGATCTCCTCGCGAGCCAACCGCTCAAAAATTCGACTCACAATAGCATAAAACCCGGAAATTGAGTCGTCAACAGTGGAATACATGCCAGGATTGAAATATCGCAATATTTCCTCACTTGAAATGGATGGGATGTGCGACACACCGTAGCCACCTTCATCAACAAGATCGTCGTCGTTCAATATACTCAGTTTATGAGAGTCATACCATGCACGCTCTTGCGGATCACTAAGCACTTCGTACGCAGCGGACACAAGGGAGAATTTGTGGTTGGCCTCTTCAACATTGTCGGGGTTCTTATCAGGATGAAGCTGGAGAGCTTTCCGCCTGTATGCTTTTTTCAACTCCGAGTCGGAAGCGGTGGATGAAACTTCTAGTATCTCGTAGTAACATGTTTTCATTGCAGTGCTGTGAAGTAAGTACACCTAAATGAGTATGTACAAGTGTGTGTGTGTGTGTGTGTTAGTTGTGCCGATGAGTTTGTGGTTTCTTGTATTCTGCTCAGTTCGATTTTTTTTTTTAATTCGATGCTGATTGTCAGTTGCAAAAACACAGAGCCTCTACAATCTACACTCATTAGTCGATTATGCAGTAAACATTCAAGCAAATGATTTATTAGCTACAAGGAAAGGTGTGTGTGTGTGGGAGAAAGTCTCTAAGTATTACATGTAAACAAACTTCGTCATCCGAAAGAAACACACTCTCCTTCTACCACCCTTTAGCATGATAATCATCAAACACGCCTTCATCAACCAGCTCTCCACCAACGATAGACTTCTTGACCATCACGCCATCAGGCATAGCAACTCTCCCCAACTTATGATCAATGAGCAATGCCTCGCGTAATGATGAACTAAGCTCATTGTTTTCCATCAACTCTTTTTCCTCAGCACTTAACGCATTGATGGGAATGGCACCAGCATTGGCATCTTCCTTCTTGTTGTTTTCTAAAGCAGTATCAGTGGTGGTGATTTTAGGAAGTGCTGGTGCTGGCGCTGGTGCTGGCGCTGAGGCAGGAGGTGTGGCTAATGCCTTGGACGAGTTTAGGAGGATTTCCGACGTAGATGTTAATGAGCTGGGTGAATGTTTGCGAGTATGTTCTGCCTCAAGTACCGCTGGCTTTGGTTGAATTATCGGCGAGACCTGTCCGTTCCCACCACTACCACTCTTGTCCGAATCAGCACTTGCTTTTGATTGTGGGGAGTCAAATAATTTCAAATTACCACTATAGTTACGATTGTGGTGGTTACTCTCCAGTTTCAATTTGGTCATGGAATTGATGTAGATGCGGCTCAAATTGATGGACGATTTTGATAAGAGGTTAATCAATGAGTGATGCGACACTGACCTTGAAAATTTGTTCAAGCTATGAGATAACAATTCATGTTCTTCGTCGACAGTGGTCTTGGCAGTGGGCACTTTCGAAACATTGATGTCAGATATCCCCACACTACTACCTTGTTTCTTGAGCGGAGTGGCATTACTGTCAAAGCTGTTATTGACATCAACAGCTACTAAGCTTTCCGAGGCCGAGGATGATGAGTTTGTCCTATTTGTTGCAGTTGATGCTGGGGATTGGACGCGCCTGCCAAGAGGCGGGATATCACTGTACGATGGAAATTTGCGCGTAAATAACAATGATGGTCGCTTATTCTCTTCATCAATTGTCAAAACACCGGTAGTTGTCGATCGTAACAATTTTGGTTTATCGGTCACCGGAACCGGTGTAGAAGATTGCGAATGGACCATCTCGTTAAGAAACAAGCCCGACAACAAGGATTTAGGCTTATTGAGGATGGGTGTTGAGTTCGAATTCCTTCTCTTGTTATCCATCGATGATATTGTCTCACTAGACAAGACAGACGATGGTGGCTCAACTTTAGTGAAATTTAAAGATTGATTCTTTGGTACGCTTTTCGAAGATGCGGCAGTAGAGTTGATTGAGCTGGAGTATACCGAAACCCACTCACTATCATTGTCATCCTTGTTGGAAGTAGTGGCAGACGAGTTTTTCCTCGTACTATTGAAATCCACACTCACGTTATGTGACGAAACTTGCGATTGAGCAACTGTGGTTTTATTTTGTTTGTCTTGTTCAATACATCCCTTCTCTTCTAGTTTGTCATCGCCCCCCTCATCCTCATCTTCTCCCTCGTCGCCTACTTCATCGGCCAGAGCTTCATCTTCCGAAATATCAGTTGACGAGCAATAACCTTTGTTCTGACGAAGATCGATCTCATCCACGGTTTGATTCGACGTTTTTCGAGATCCATTCAATATTTCCAATGAGTTATCTTGGAAGTTAAAGTTGTTGAATAAAGAATTCTGTCGCTGTACTCCAGGTTGTTGAAGAGGGTCTTGAGTTCGTTCCGAATCGGTAGGTGCCGACAAAGTACTTGAAGCACCATTCTCGGTGTGACTTTTTGGATCAATTTGATGCAATGGTGATGCTTTACGGTCTGAAGTAGATGATTGAGATTTGGGAAAATGGTCGTGGCGATTTGAGCTAGATGAAGAGCTTCCCAAGAAAAAAGTATCACTTTGGTTATGATGAACACTAAGCGGTGATACTCTGTCTGACTGATGCAGCGAGGCTGAGTGAGGTTGTAGCGATTTATTTGATGAAATTTGCATAAAATGTTTCGGGCTGGAACATGCTTTCCGATCGTTTTGCAGTGATTTTTCATCATGTAGTTTGTGTTGTGGCTGCTTTCTTTCCCCTTCAGCCTCCTCCTCCTCCTCCTCTTCCTCATATTCATCGTCCTTATCATCATCATCATCATCATCGTCATCAGAAATCTCGGAGATATCTGACATATCCGACTCGAGTATATGTTGTTCTTCATGAATATGATCCACGTTGCCACCAGACAAGGATTGCTTATCCTGTTTTTCCAAAGCAAAAGATTCCAAACTTGTCTGGGTGCTCTGTTTTCTATGTTGTAGACTAAAATTCGATGAATGACTAAATAATGTTGGTCGTTCGGCTAAAAATTGAGTGGTTTTTGGTTTTAAATCTTTCAAGTTCTCTTTGAAAAGATCATTTAGCTCATCTGTGCAGTTTGATTTTGAGTCACGATTGTCTAGAGACGTAAACCCCCGGGAAGTGTCTCCGTGTAGGTGTTGGCAGCACATCAATACACGCTGGTTGAGTAGTCTCCAAGATCGGTTATTGAGTCGTTCGGTTGTTGAAATATCTGGACATTTTATATACAGTAAGTCGTTGGTTAATTTCCAGAGCTTAAAAAGCGAATGATCCGACTGTTTTTCATAGTTGAAGTGTATTGGAATAGTTGATGGAGGTCCCATGGCTGTTGTTTAACCCCAAGAAATTAATGCAAAATAGAGTCAAAAATTGCGTAACAAGCGAAAGTGCTGCTCTCGAAGTGACAAAGCGAAGGGCAAAATTCAAATTAAGTAAAGTGGTGGATATGTGCGTGTGTGTCTATATAGTGGTTATGTTGTTGTTGGCAAAGACGTGACTGTCAATCTTTGTAATTTTTGTAATGTTTTACACATATATATTTTTTTTTTTCAAATCAAACTACCGCAGTGGGAGAGAGAGTGAATGAAATGTTGGGTCCTGGTGTAAGTGCGCAGTTTGAATAGTGAATATGTAAGTATGGAGATGTTAGTTGTAGTAGTGGTTGTTGTAGCTGTTGCTGCTGTTGCTGCTGTAGCTGTAGTTGTTGCTGTTGCTTCTATTGCTGAAGGGTAGCAAGAGTTTAGTGTCTACTTTATACTGAAAACTGATTGATATTGTATGAGAAAAAATAAATTGATGACCTACATTGTATGTATACACACACACACATACAATTTCCAGTTTCCTGTCAAAAAAAAAAAAAAACAGAAAGTAAGACAGAGACAGAGACAGAGACAGAGACAGAGACAGAGACAGAGACAGAGACAAAGACAAAGACAGAAAGTGAGACAGAGACAGAATCATTCCTTGCAAAACAAAAAGTAAAGGTACCTTTATACTAAGCTAAAAACAGAGCCACATAGTCTACCTTCTTTATAGTGCTGTTTCGTGTCTTAAACCCATCGCTACGGATGTGAGAATAACCGAAATCATTTGATGTTCAAACAGAGTAACACTGGCCTTGATTATAGTGGACGGGGGAACTATTGTTGTCTCTTGATAAACTTTTGTGTCAATTCTATGCGCAACTACCAATTGGGGGTTTTGTTTTTTGTTTTATTTTTATTTTTATTTTTTTTTTCTTTGACAGCTGATTCACTTTTTGCAAAGGACTTATTCGTTTATTGAGACAAGTGTTGAACACCAGACAGAGTCTTACTTTGCAAGAGGTGTATGTGTGTGTATTCTGATTGATTCAAATGTGGATTGCAGAAAAAGCAAAGTAGTCTCATTTTTACAGTGAGCCCATCAATACTCGTTTAAATACAAACTATGTACACACGTTTGATATCTCATCTCCTCATCAGATAGAAAAACTGTGGCTCTATGATCTTACAGACACAAAATTGTCAAAGTATAATCTAATCTTTCTGTGGGAAGACAAAGCCATTTCACTATTCTAGATACCAAATACAACTTTCTCATTACTCACTCCTTCCTTCGACAACTTGAGTCCTTCATCAACACTCTTCAACCCATCTGTCAATACTCTCAAATTAGCATGCTTTATTGACTTTATGTGTTTAGGCAAAACATCAAACCACCAAGGCTCGTAGTACTTCAACATATCCTCGGGTCTTTTCAACAATACACCAGTGGCAGTTTTCTTTGCTTCAGTGATTGCCAAATACGCAAAGCTTTTCCCATAATGTACCCTGGAATTATCTCTCTTTTCATCCAACTTGATTGAACTTGAATCAAGAAATAGCAACGAATCTAAATACACATCACCAGAAGCTTCGCTAGTGGCATCATAAACTTGTTGGAATGTAGATGGCTGTGCAATTGTATCTAAACCGAACTTAATCATACCTCTTCCAATCTCCTTAATCTTGGACCCAACATCTTCATCATGATAGTCGAAAACGTAATCAGCCCCAATCGATTTGAGATACTCGTGATTCTTTCTAGACGCAGTGGTTATCACGTTCAATCCATAAATGGCCTTGGCCAATTGTATAGCCAAAATACCAGTAGCACTGGCACCACCCCATATCAAAATATAATCACCCTCGCTACACCTCTCCCCAATTTTCAACTGATACGAAAACGAATCACCAATTGTAACCAACCCCAACGTAGCACTAGCAGCACCAAGAAAAGTAGTAATAGGACCAGACTTCACAACACCACCACCACCATCGCCACAACCACCACCCACTTGGCCATCATCCAACAGATCATACTTGACACACCCAAATGCATTTGCAGCCACAAATTCAGCAAATGCTCCATTGTGAGGGAAAATATTACCAACAACAAATGCCCCCACGAAATCACCAATTTCGAAATGAGGGACATTCTCACCTACTTCAACAACCACTCCACTCACATCGCAGCCGAGAATATCACCCTTGGAACTGCTTCCATTATGAACTGATTTCCAATCAGTGGGGTTGATGGCGAAGGCTTTGGCCTTAATTAGTAATTCGTCGGGTTTGATTTTGGGTATATTTAATGAATCCTTGAATTCACTTGGAGATTGCTTATCCCCCGAGAAAACCGCTGCTTTCATGTTTGTGGAGGAGCAAAGAGGGAATTGGATGAACTTGTTCAATCCAAATGAGGAACTGCATTCCCTTATCTATTTTTTTTTTTGCTTCCATTTAAAGTTTTGTTTCTGGGGTAGCAAACGAAAGTTGGCGTAGCGGTTTGTATTTTAACACGCCAACTTTCTGCGACATACGCACTCTCCTCATGCAACAGCTTTACGTTACAAATCTCTGTCATATAAATTCTAATTGGCTATACAAGGCACGTGCATGGAAGAGTCACGAATTGGAAAGCTGTTGCATGAATGATCTTTACTTTCTCTTTTATTTTTCTTTTTTTTTTGCATTAATTTGGCAACAAAAAATACACTATATTTCAACATTAAACTATACATCAAAGACAACCTTGGTATTAGAAACACCTTCTTTAGACAATTTCAAAGCTTCACCAGAGCTTTCCAATCCTTTGGGCAAGACAGTCAAACTGGCATGTTTCAACTCACCAATATACTTTGGCAAAACATCAACCCACCAAGGGGTGTAATCCTTCAATAAATCCTCTGGTTGATGTAACTCCTTACCAAAGAACTTGACTTTCGTAATTGCAAGATAAGCCAATGTTTCGCCCCAGTGGATCTTGTAGTTATCTCTCTTTTCATCTAATTTGATGGTGGACCCGTTTTGGGATAATGTCGAGTCGAGGAAAATTGACACTTCTGTGTTTGCAGTGGAATCATACACTTTTTGGAAAGTTTCCGGAGTTGCAATTGTATCAAACCCAAACTTCAATGTTCCTCCAACAACTTCCTTGATGCGGTCAACTACTCTGTCATCATTGTAGTCAAATACATATTCTGCACCTAATGACTTGAGGTATTCATGGTTCTTGGGAGATGCAGTAGCAACGACCCTCAATCCATAAATGGCTTTAGCCAATTGAATAGCCAAGATACCAGTTGCTGTAGCTCCGCCCCAAATCAAGATGAAATCTCCTTCAACAAAATTCTGTGGAATCTGCAACGAGTAAGCAAATGAGTAGCCAACAGTGACCAATCCCAAAGTAGTACTAGCTGCTCCTTCAAAAGTAGTAATTGGTCCCGACTCAGTCTTGCTTGGGTCTTCAACCAATTTGGGGTACTTGACAGTTCCCAATGGATTAGCAGCAACATATTCAGCCCATGCTCCATTTCTGGATGACGAGTTACCAACAATGAATGAGCTGACGTAATCACCAACTTTGAAATTGTCAACCTTGGAACCAACTTTCTCAACAACTCCACTAACATCACTACCCAAGATATAACCTGGCTGACTGACGCCAAATTCAAGATGTTTCCAATCAGTAGGGTTCACTGCAAACGATTTGGATTTGATGAGGATTTCGTTGTCAGAAATTTCAGGAGTTGGAACTTCCTTAATCTCGAATGGAGATTCTTTGGATCCGGTAAACACAGCTGCTTTCATTGTCAATAAGAAGTGAGAATGTCAAAGAAGTAATTAGTTGTGCAAGGTTTGAATGAAAGAAACAATTGTGGTTGTTTGAATTTGGAAATTTGAACTACTATTTATACTAAAGACATACGATTCAAATTGTGTTCTACAAATTGGCGCAGAGGAAGGCTACAAAACTGTGGAATAACGCCGAAGAGCAAAAAGACATAGAAATATGTCACAAAAACTTCTTCTTCCGAACTCAACGTCGTGCGCACCGAAAACCACGCTACACAAAAATAGTACAACCGATTACTAATACAGAGTATAGCTGGGCTGGGGTGGGGGGGGAGTACTTCCGGGGGAATCTAGCTGGCGGACCGTAGTACTGAGCAAAACTGTATGGAGAGCTAGAGATTGTTGCCCCATTCTAGTACCAGCAGAGACTAACCGTCAACTGGCCAACAGCTCGGCCAGGTTTTAAGACGTCAGACATACCCTCGGACAGCAAAAAGAGTAAATAAAGATTATTATATTTAGTGTTGCTGTCTACTCGCATATGCACATTTCCGTGTTTTTGTCAGTGTCGCAAGCTGCAGCAATACGACATTTCACGGCACGACACAAAACTTGAAAACTCCGAAATACCGATTACTGACTGCCGACTACCGAATGCCCGGACTCTACAACAACCATGTAGTCAATTACTAATTACAAAATTAAAGGGAGCTACGTCCCACCAACTGTCTCTTTCAAAGCATCCGCCCCACCCTTCCCATTTTCCTCCTTCTCCTCTTCCTCCCCCTCCTATTCCTCCATCCAGTTGTATTCAATGATCTCCTCCTCTTTATCGTGAGGAAGATCTTGTCTGACTTTATCCTTGATCAAATAACAGACGATACAAGCAATGATACTAACTCCCGTGATCAACACCAACATCATGTTGGAGTCACGATACAATCTCTTCCTATCTTCGGGCCAACCAGAGTACAATGCATAAGTGGCAGTGACTGAACCCAAGTTTCCCAAACCACTCACCAATGCTGCACTTACTGCAGTTCCAACATCTCCATATCTTGGAAAGAAAATCTCTGCTGACCACGACATGCAAATTGGCACTGTTGGTCCCAATCCATACCCAGCAATCAACAAACCTGCATACTTGTTCCATGACCCATGTGCAAAAGTAGTGACAACCATACCAATGATGATAATAATACATGCACCACAAAATATTACTGGTCTGAATTTCTTGTATCTATCGGCAAATGGAGTAATTGTTAGAATACCACCCAAGTCAAATAACCAAATTGGCGCATACAACAAAGACACATTAATCGAAGACAAGTTTGGGTTATTGGTTTTGATAATGGTTGAGCCAAACACAGCCAAACCAAATCCAGTTCCAACAACACCAAAATACATAATAATCAATGGCCAAATACGCAAGTCCGTAATAATGGCAACAACGTCTCCCCATGTCCATTTGAGCAACTTGTATCTGTATTCAATATCTCTTCTATGCAACTCCCTTTCGGTATCATTTAATGGATGAGACGTGGTAAAGTATCGATTGTAAAGTTTCTTCACTTTGTTTTCAGATTGCTTGGTAATGCGGAATGGTCTATCAGGCAACCACCAAAGCAAAGATATCCCCACGGCAATGGTAATCGAGCCGTAAGTCAAATACATCCATTGCCAACCGTAGTACCCTCTATTCCCATCAATCTTTTGGAACCCAGCACTGACCAACCCAGCCACTGCAGCCGACATTTGAGCTGCTGTGAAATAGTACCCGATTCTTCTAGTTGCTCTGTCATTGGGGTACCAGAGAGAAACGTAGTAACTCATCCCCGGCCATGTACCAGCACCAACAACACCACTAATAAACCTAATGGCAATCACTCCGCCAGAGTTGTGTAAAGCACTGTAACATGTATAAACCAACCCCACAGTAATTACAATTCTCGCCAACCATGATTGAGGACTGACTTTTGTCATGACAAGATTCATGGGGACATCAAAGATAATATAACCAACGTAGTACAAAGCGGAAGCGGTAGATGTATGCTTGGATGTCAAGTTCAAAGACTGAATCAACGAATGACCAGCTTCTGAATTCATGGTTAATGTCAACCCATAGCAATTTGAACCAAACGAAGTGAGGAAATAGAGACACCACAATGCCGGGATGATACGAAAGTCCAATTTGCGGTAAATCTTATCCAATTCGTGTTTGTTCAACTCGTCGTGAATATTGTCGTGGTCATTGTTGTCAATCTGATTCTCTTCAATATCAAGTGACTTGGATCTTGATCCTTGCTCTGAACTTGAACTCATATTCAGCTTGTTTTAAAGAATACTGAAAAAAAAAAAATGGAAACACTCTCTCGTGAAAAAAAAAAAAGAAAAGGAAATGAAAAAGTATCTTGTTCCTTCACACTTTATATAGAGACAACGCGGCTGGAGTCAATGCTTCTCTCCCTTCATGTAATAAATATCTTGCAGTGTAAAAAGGGTGCAAAAATTACAGTGATTAAATTGCAAATCCAATTTAAAATTTATTTTATTTTATTTTGTTCTGTTGGGGAAAGTACCCATTGACACATCCAAACACACATATTAAAGTAGGGCTAGAGCGCCTGAGAGATGACTCTGAGTCAACTTTCGCCTCGATGGGAAGAGTCATACACAGTCATCTCGTGTGAGAAGAACACTACCAAAGCTAACCATCTCAGATCTTTACACAAAACAGTTTACGCCAATAAACGAAAGATCTCAACAATGCGAATTAATTCTATGTATACTCTCTACTTAATTTCTAACTTAATTCTTCCCAACATTTTTCTGCTTGTTTAATGCGATTGATTGTAATATCAGCAAATTCTTTGCTCTGATTCAAAACAAAGGCATGTTTGATTGGATTTTCAACATTTTCACAAATTTCAAACTTGTTTCTCCTCGGGTCAACATTGCCATATTTCGAAATCAAATAATTTCTCGTTTTATTTGAAACCCAATGGTCTTGCTGTGCGAAAAAGCACCAGTTTTTAAATGCAAAACGATTATTGACATACATCCAATCATTGACATCGTCCAGGTTGGTAATAACCTTCATTTCATCCTTGGCCATGTTTAGTGCTTGGTTTATCGCACTGGGCGAATTGATGAGTTCGAGAGTGGTTTCTAGCGAGTGCTGCAATCCAACATTTTCATGGTTGGACCCTTCTTCAATCACTTCTTTTGGTGGTGCCCAATGGCGAGTGAGAATGTATCGTTGTGCTGATTCGGGGATATACGAGCACATAGTGCCAAAAGTCATGGCTAAACCAACCACGGGAATCCTTGCATTGATCAACTTAGTAAACTTGGTTCCTGATTCAGATCCAGCAATGTCGTTGGTTGTGGGTGTGATCAATCCAACAAATTTCACTTCAAACTTACCACTCAAGTCATCATCTTCTAAAAGCCTTTTGACTGTTCGTTGAGTAATGAAACCTCCCAAAGAGTGAGCTAAAAAGTATAAGTTTGGTTTGATGGATTGCTGTTCGATTTTATTCTTGATGACTTGATATTTATGGTTTATTTGCTCCTCAACGGTGTAGATGTGCTGCTGCTTTGTGCTTTCTGATTTACCAAAACCTAAATAATCCATACCAAATATCTCAAATTGTGGGATTGCTCTTTGAATGTAGTCAAGAAAAGTGATATAGTACCCCACTAGTCCTGGGTTACCAGGAATCATGATGAGAATATCATTGGCAGCCAGTGACGGTTGCTTGGATGGTGAGTGATAGACTCTTGTCTTTGGCACGGTGTCAAGGTATTCGTAGGACATGGCTGACGGTGTTTCTGTCAAATATCATGTCGTCTGGATATGGGTTTAAAAATTAACGATTGCGAAGGAAAAAAAAGAAAAGAAAAAAACACGAACGAAAAGAAAAAAAATTGGTCGCGCAATCTCGGAGATAATATGAAATGAAACTTCTTCTTCTTCTTCTTCTTAAATCCGGGCTGTAATTGCTTCTTTGTAAATCACTTAAACTTTTACTTAACAACCCTACACATTAGTTACCATATATATTAAACGAGTACCTCGATGTAATTAATGGACTATCCACTTCAGGGACATCAGACGAATGCAAATTTCGTTCATAGTAGTTTAAATTTCCCAACCTGTCTACTAAAATAATAGTTTGGGTTCTTGTGCCGTAGTATTCGCCAATCGATGCCAAATGACTCTCTGCACCTTCGCGCTTTAATGGTGGTATGAATATCGAATTTCTTAACGCCAACACCTTGACATCAAAATCATGTTGTTTCATGATAGCTCTGTCGTATGTATCATGACTTAACAATTTGAAGCACTCTTCAACTAGTTGATCTTGAGTTAGGGACGACTCAACTGATGCTGAAATGAGCTCCTTAAGCATTCTTTCACCAAGTTCAACCTTCTTCCAAGGATCGTTGTATAAGGAGTTTGACATACCAAACGTGGACTTTGTTGAAATACTGTTGAGGCCCCCCGACTGTTGCACACTCTTTTCGAACACTCTCCCATGATGGCCCTTATTACTCAAAATGTTCAAATGATCCACACCATCTTCAGGGTTAACTCGCAATGAGCCATACAACAACGTAAACCCACCTATATTCTTCAAGTCAAGAGTAGCGTTGCCATTCTGCATCTCCATAGAAAAGCTGTCTCTCCATTCATCATCAGATTTTGTTGTTTCTAAATAACTCAAGGGTAGCACTCCTCTCGATACTTGTTTCATAGTACCTATATTTTTTTGGCGTTAGTAAATCTGCATTGAAACAAAGCCCCAAATGTCCCCAAATCACATACTTTCCGTATCCATATCACGATAGTTTACCAATACTGCAATCTTCCCTGTAGTTGTCACTCCGATCCATGTGCCATGTTCATGTCTGGCTAAGTCTAGAGGAGCCAACAATTTTTCGTGGTCGTTAATCTGCCTAAATTGGGCTGGCGCTGTTGGTCTTCGGAAAAACTCGTCCCTATTAGAGAGGAGAATGAAGGGGTAGTCTGGATGATCTGTGGTAGCAATAGTGATACACATTGTAAGTTCAAAAAGTGAGGTGATCCGTGTTTTGGGAGAACACACGGTTTTGTTTGTTTTTTTTCCCTTTTTCTTATGAGGATAAATTTACGTGGCCCGCCCCCGACGTGTGACGAGAAAAAAAAATCAAGAAAAGGCTTTGAGGTTTTGTGGGGAAACAGCTACTTAGTTGAAATGTTACAATGACATCACTATTTGAGCTAAATACACGAAAGTTCTTTTCTAATGGGATTGAATAAAAAAGAACCGTCTCAGGTAGCCGAGTCGGCCCTATGATTGGCGAAACTGGCAAAGATGTGCAAGCCTTTAGTTATTACTCCACTCCACTCCACTATCCATTTTGTGATTTATGGTAGCGCACAAATCTCTTGTCCAAAGGTTCAACAATTTTCTTCTAAGTTTATTAACAAGTTCTACAGAGCAAAAAAAAAAGAAATAGCTATACAAGTGGCTATTCTAATCAGAAAAATACTCAAAGCATGCAAGCTCTTGAGCCGTTGGTCTCAGGATAGGGTCCCATTGCAAACATGACATTATAGTGTCGCACAACTCACGTCCGGCGTCAGGAAGAATCTGCGCACGACTCATTCCACGATCAAAAGGTAACTGGTGCCCAAGAGCATTGCTTAACACCGCAGCTTGGGGCCAGTATCCACCGACTGGAACAACGTACTCCTGCCCAACTTTCCCTGGAAGCGATGGACTACCTAAAGTTTGAATAATTTTACAGAGCATGTCGACTTCGTTAGCTCCTGGAAATAATGGCGCAAAGTTGACAATTTCTGCTGCAACTGTGCCATAGGCCCAGACATCAATTTCACAGCCATACTTGTTTTGTCTCAATAGTATTTCGGGGGATCTGTACCATCTTGTTGAGACGTAGCCGGTGTATGGCCTCATTGTATTTACATGTCGCGCCAAACCATAGTCTCCCAACTTGATGACAAAATTATCATTTCGTCTGTATGGTGGAACGGATGCTTTGGATCCATAGTACTGAGCAGTTGGGATAACGAGAATGTTTTCAGGTTTGACGTCGCGATGAAAATACTGATGGTGGTGAATATGCTTGATTGCTTGCAATAGTTGCGTCAATATACTCCTTAAAGTCATTGATGAGAACCTGGCCCCTTTACGAGACTTTATTAACTGGTACAAGTTCTGGTTAAGCGCTTCCATAGTTATGTGCAATTGATGGTCCATATCGTCAATAAACATTTCAAATATCTGCACCAAGTTGGGATGTGAGGGGACACTCGAAATGAATTTGACCTCCTTGACTTTTGCATAATCGTGCAATGATGGGAGCCTTTTCTTCATAGTTTTGATGGCAACTAGTTTGGATTCGTTGCGTTTCGAATCATCTAGTGGATACAATAATGTTCCCGATTTGTGAACCTGTGTGCTGAGCAACTCTTCCTTGGGGAACTTGAGTCTGGCTAGCTCAACAGTGCCAAAACTTCCATTTCCAAGATTGCTGACTATTTGGTATCTTTGATGATATGAATGGACAGAGACATGGTTTGGCGGAGAATCATTGTAGTAGGAAAGACCTGTGTTTGACATTGCGAACAAAAAATGGAGAGTGTGGGAATACAAGGCGCTGTTGACTTGGATTGATATTGAGGCTGCAAGAGCTGACAAATCTGTAATCACACGAGTTCTTGATGTGGGAAAGCTGGTGTTTACCTTTAGTTTCAGAGATTTGCAACACATTTCGCTAAGTCGTTTTGTTCTGTGCACAACCCCTCCCTTCACAAAGAAAAAACAAGCACAATCAGTGACACTTCTACTGCAATGGAACATTCGCTGTCAAATATTGACATTTAGAAAGCAGATAAAGAGCAGTTTTGCTATTATTAAATGTGATGTGTTTATTTCCCTCTACTATTTAAGTTATAAATTGTGTATCTAAAATTTCCATCATAATTCTTTTCCCAATTGACCCTTTGTCTTTCTTCCTCTCTTCCTCTCCTATTCTTCCTCAGAATCAAACAATTGTTCTTCATCAGATGATACTTCAATCAAAAACTGAGTGGAAGGAGCCGGCACTACACCTTCACTTTGAAATGGAGCTTGGTCAATAAAATGCTGATAATTTCCCACAGTATTGGTGGCTAATAGTACACTTGGCTCAACAGTAAAACTATTTATGTGTACTTTCGAGGTAGCCACAGTAGACTCTTCTTCCTCGTCCTCTTCTTCTTGTACCAAAGTTTCCTGTCGGACGTATGTGTTGGACTTTGTGCTTATTCTATCTTGCATCCTCAATGTGAATACGTGATTCAATGAGCACGAGTCACCTCTAGGACATGCGACCTCTTCGTCATAGTCCGGACAGTTCCAAACATGCAAAAATGGACAGTTTTTGCCTCTGGGACACCATCCACCAACAGAGAATGGCCGGCAGATGCCTATTTCGTATTTGGAGTCTCCATAATGTTCTGGAAGCAAGTGACTATACTTGCATTGGGTATTGGTACACCTATTTTGCATGTTAAAGTAGCACAACGGCGTGTTGTGATAGTTTGGTGTGTGACTTAAAAGACAATTACTATTTGCACAATTTCCGTTCAAAAAATATGGACATATTCGAATCTTTTCCCTCTCGTGGCTATACTTGCAACTTGAACCTCTTTCACAGAATCCTAAACAATTAAAAAGGCTCAAAAAAAGAAAAAAAGAGCCGGTATCCGTTAGTAACTATGCCGCCTCTCATATGGTAGTTTAATACGTACCTGAATCTCTAAAATAGTGACAGTGCTCCCTAAAATTTCTGATCAAAGTTAGTTATGAACACTCATATCTCGACACAACGCAATACATACTTTCTTGAACTTCCTTCGATGAGGTAATAGCCCGCATCGGTAACCTCATACCAGTGATCATTCCAGAATATAGTATCATCTGCATTTTTATAGTAAGTTAGTGGAGAGAGAATAGAGCCGTTCTCAACAACCGAGTACTTTTCTCCATTAACCAAAACCCGGTCACACATGGAATTCTTAGCTTTGAGTTTTTCCAACTTCCTCTTCAAGCTGTTAATAGCCATCATTTCCTCGAAAGGATCTGGTCGCCTGATCAAATCGGCCCTAAAAATTTTAGTGTTAATTGCAGATTTACCATCACCAGACACGAAATATTGTTGCTCGGTTTGTAAAAGAGATGCACCACCCTCTACATCTCCTTCCGGATTATGCGAGTTCAGCGCACCACTACTCCTCACGAGCTTCGGGTTGCAAAATGACCGCTTCGAATGTTTTGGTTTCCTTACCTTACTCTTGCTCTTGATTTTATACCTAGTCCCCGTCTGCTTCTTCTGCTTCTTCTGCTTCTGCACTCCATTAACTGATTGTTTGTCACTTATTGCTTTCTTCAATAATGCGATCTCTTTTAATAAGACCTGTTTTTGGTGGGAGTCATCTACTACGACTAAGGACATTATTGGTCTCTAATATGTGGTGCAATGTGATGTGATGAGTAACCGATTGTTTGCGTCACAAATTATTTTGTTCAGATTTTTCCCTTTTCTTCCACGATACCACGTTTTCCGCTAACTTCAATCTTAGTCTTGGTGACACTCGACCACACGCTTTGGATCTCTGCAATGTCACTCAAAGGGTCCACCACAACCTCCCAGCTTCTTAAAGGGAAAACTGAACCTGATAGGAAACTAAATAAAAAGAATCTCACTAATTTGAAGGATATCGAGTCAGCCTTGTATGATTTAGAGCTCAAAGAGGACAATGAGCAGCGCACTCGTCGAGTATGTAACTGCATGGCTCGCAAACACCCTTTGTTCGAGATTGCACCAAACTGTTTAAACTGTGGTAAGATAATATGTACGAAGGAAGGTTTACAGCCATGCTCGTTTTGCGGAAGCGATCTAATACCAGATGGAGACAAAAACGCCATGATACAAGTACTACGCAAGGAGAAGGAGGATCTACTAGAGCGGGAACCGAAGACTGAAAAACCGAGCCAACCAAAAACCAGGAAAAAGATAGTTGTCAAGATGAAACCAGGTGAAAAGTTTTGGGAGGCTCAAGATAGAGCATTCAAATTGGCAGAGCAGGAAATGAAAGATAAAGAAGTATCACCAGAAGAGGTTCTGCCGGAGGTCGTGGAGGAGAATTCCATCAGTACCGAGCATGATAAGGATCTTGAATCTGCCAAAGCCAGACTTGAGACATTGTTGAATTTTCAAGATACCGGGGCTGAGAGAACCAGAATTATAGATAATGCATCTGACTTTGAAATGCCCACCCAATCAATATGGCTATCTCCTGAGGAGCGTGCTCTTAACTTAAAGCGACAACAACGATTAGCAAGGGACGACAAAAGAGAGAAAGACCGTCAGAAAAGGGGAGAAAGACAAGTCGAGATGGTGATAAAGAGTGGTAAGGTCGTCATGGTAGAGAAGTACGTGCCTGTTAAGGAAGAAGTTACAAAAGATGAGCTAGAATTGATGGACGAAATCAAAAGTTCGAAAACAAATCAAGACAAAAGCGGGTTGGTGTGGGACTACGATAAAGACAAAATCAAGTGGGGGAAACCCGTATATTTTTCAAATACCAATGCCCAATCTGAATCGAACAAAGAATTGCAAAAGGATGCAAAGTCTCGAGTACAGTTTGAATCGGGTAAGGATACTTCGGAGTTAATAGCAACAATGATATAAGCCGTCTATCTTCTCATTCGCTGTTTAAAGCGTCGCGATCGTGGATCATTGATCTTGAGTCTTTTGTAATTTTGAGCAATTGGTTTTCTGGTTTTCTTTACTGGGCTTCCGTGCACTTGGTCATTCGCCAATGTTTCGGGCTCTGACTCACTATCGGAATTCATATAAGTAGTCAAAGCAGTCCTCTCTTTTTCTTCCAAATCTATCATCCTTTGTTGGACGTCAACCTCACCCAAAGAAGACACTTCGGCAACTGGTCTAGGTGCCATTTTTGATCTTCTAGTTTGTCTCTTTTGTGTTTTCCTTTTCGCAGGAGGGTTCAGCTCGGCGGTGACCACCTCGACGTCTTCCATTCCCTTTGCATCCTCAAAATGTTCTACTGCTGCTTCTTCTTCTTCTTCTTCGATTTCCATAATCGACATATTGTATACATCCATCAATTTTCTTCTTAATCGATTGGGTTTTAGCGGGGAAGGTGATATCAGAAAATCGATTGCATTTTTACGGAACGTGGGGGTAGTAACGTTTGACTTGAGATACCTTGGTGTTTCAACGGTTTGTTGAAGTGTTTTAGTAACCGTTGTAGGTGTGGCTCCAGTAGACGTTTTTGTTGGTGTCGAGAATGATAGTCTTCTCTTTGCTTTGACAGGAGTCGTTTCAGGAGAGGCCCCGTCAAAGCTGCTAAGTACGTCAGGGACGTGCGCTGACTTGCTTCTCAATGGCGATGACTCTGGTGGGGTCAATTTGACATCGAATATTGATAATACTCTTCCATTTGCCTGAGGAGTGGGTCCAAGCTCCCCATTCGGGGTTGGAAGCACGTTCTCGTTGTCATCGACATCCTCTTGAACTGTAAGTTTTTCTTTAGTTGCGGGAGCCTGCTTGTTCAGCTTGCAGGATCTGTACTTGGAGTACAATGCTTTGATTTTGGGATTGTTGCGGACATCCAGCCTCGAGGGTAGTCTACCATGCTTCGATTGGAACGCATGCTCCCAATCTTTTATTTCTTGTTTAACCTTGAGAATATCTTCACTCATGTGTAGGGAACCTCCTCTATACGAGACGCGTATAGCGCGAAAAAGGAAAACAAAGATGAGAAAAAAAAAAAAGCAAAAAAAAAGGGTTTATGGGGTGTCGATTCTATTTACAAAGTGGTAGCGAATACACGAGCATTTTCAAACCAGGAACTGGATCCATGATTTTCATAAATCATATCAAGCGCTCTTTTCAACGATTTTCTCTCCTTTGCAGTAAAGAGCTCAGAGTTGGCTTTTTCCCATTGATTTATAAATGACAGACTGTTTTTGGTGTCCCAGAAGTTACAGAAAAAGTCTCGTAAAGCGATTTTGTCGTTGATCATTGCAAGAAGGAAAACCAACTTCGTTTGCATGAGTGCAATATCTCGAGGAGTGGTCAAGCTCTGTTGTATCATGTTCCATTCTTTCCAAAAGTAAGGCCAATTTCTTGCACAAGCATACGTATATAGCATTTGTTCTCGAAGCCATAATGGGACGGCTCCTCGTTTGGAGAAGTTGATGGTTCTTAAGAGCTCTCGCACGTTTTGCGCGGATTGTGGGTCTTGGTGTACACGACAATTTTCAACCTCTATCCCCTTCCCTGTCAGAAGTGCAGTATGTAAACGCGCAGCATCAATAGGAACATATTCGTCACAGGTCAACGACCACAATAAAGCCTGAAACTTGTCCACAGCAAAGAAATGTAACTCATCTCTTGAAAAGGAAGTAATTCTTGATATGAAGCTTGATAACATGGAGAGTTTCTCTGACGCGGGGAGAGGCTCATTTATATCCAATACGGCTTCCATATATCTGATCACGTCATTTACTATTTCTTGATTCCAATTGATTTCTTCCCCAAGTAATTGAATTGATGCATGTTTTTCCAAAAGTACCTTTTCAAGGTCCTTGAACGATGCAATCAGTGGATCCCTTAAGTGGAGCAACTTGTAGAGTGCAAACTTCTCGCTCCATTCCTCTACTGAAGCACCAGTAAATGTGGAGTCAAAATCGTTCTTGAACAATTCAAGACTTTTATCGGACGGGTTCTCTGCACATGACTTGACTATGGACTTTAATTGGGCAACATCTTGTCGGCTAGACAGTGTGTGAAAATGCCTCCGCAATCCAAAAAACACGCTCTCTGTATCTTCGTAAGTTCTTTTCTGTGTCGGTGTCTCCACGTGTGGTACCTCTACATCTCCACCCTCCTCTTCAAAAAGGGATTCCAAGTTCAATTCCACTCTTCTTTCGTCACTCAAAATATGGACAACTGCACCCTCAACACCTAGTTCGCATCTTACCCACGAATTTTGACCAATGCCAAAATCGTTGTGCGTTGCAGGTGGTCCTTGTCTGGCTCTTTTTGCCAACCTTCTGCGTGCTCTAGTGCTTATTGCGTTTGACGTCATACCCTCAATGCGAGGTAAATAGCCATACTCATGCTTGACGTGCTGCTTTAGTTCATACGATGCTTTGTAAATGTGTTTCTCGGATTTACCTGAAGCAAGTATGATAAACCGTTGAGGAGACTGCTCATCTGTATATTTAGGGTGATCAGCAGGAAGTGCGGCCAAGTCATAAACTTTCAAGCTCGTGAGACCGTACTTTTTGACTAGCAAGGTGAGGAGATCTTTGATTCCTTGAGGTGTTCCATAAGGCAACTCCGGAAACTTGTCGTGAGTTACTTGACCTGATTGTGACGAATTTTCTTTCCTCAAATACCATGGCGTTGAACTATCTCCATCTGATTTAGAATTCTGTATCCGGGGGGAGGTGGTAGAAAAGCATCTACTGCAACGGGCAGGCTTCATTAACTGTAATAGAAAACGAGCCGTGACGCGCTGACTCAATAACGTCAACCGCAAGGACATGCTCAATGATTGATGGGTGTGTCTAAGATTGTCTTTTAGTTTAGTGCATCGATCGCATGAAAAAGGAAGGAAAGAAGGAAGGAAGAAACGAAAAAAAAAAAAATATTCATGCGCACACATTTGAGCTCATCTTAACTCATCAGAAAGCAGCAGCACCACCACCAGCACACATATACACACGCTACATTATGGCTAAATTAGTCCACAACGTACAGAAAAAGCAGCATAGGGAGAGGTCTCAGAAGTCAAGTAGGGCCAGATATGGTTTGCTTGAAAAGAAGAAAGACTATAGGCTAAGAGCCGCGGATTATCACAAGAAGCAGGCCGCACTCAAAGCATTGAAGGAGAAAGCAAAGTCCCACAATCCGGATGAGTATTACCATGCCATGACAAAGAAAAGGACAGATGACAAGGGGATACTCATATCTGATAGAGACAATGCAGTTTTGAGTGTTGATCAAGCGAAGCTTTTGAAAACGCAAGATATCAATTACATACGAACCATGCGTTTGCACGAGTCAAACAGAATCAAGCGTCTTCAAGATGGAAAACTTTTTGATGGATCTGGAAAACATACCGTATTTGTCGATTCAAGCCAACACCAGGAATCGTTTAAGCCCGAGGAGTATTTCAACACAGACGAATCATTAGTTGAGAACAGACAAAACAGACTTCGATTAGATCAGTTGCATGCAAATTCGGGGTTGGTGAATCTGCCGACTTTTGATATGAATGAGAAGGACAAGTTGGACGAGAAAAAGCTCAAGCTGTTCAAGCAACTTCAGAGGGCCATAGCAAAGGAGAAGGATTTGCGTCAGGTGGAAGATATAATGAGTAGGAATATAGAAAAGATGAAGAAAGGGGACAAGAAGAAAATGGTGGATTCCAATGGCAAAACCTACTTCAAATGGAAGACTCAAAGAAAAAGATAACCTTATTCGTCATTATTTAGCGTTCTATTTATGTATTCTACAAATAAAGGCACTATTCGATCAATTTCAATAGTTCTCATTCGGTTGAGACTAATAAAGGACCTTCTAATTCTTTGGAGCTGGGCAGTGCTAACAGTGCCCATCGGAATCTCGATAGTATAATCATTGATGACTACAGCACCACTTGCAAGTTGTTGCTGTTGGATTACCTGAGAAACAACGTCGTGCGTTTTGCGATCCAACTCTTGAAGAAACGAGTTGTTTGAAGTTGCCTGAATAGTTGTAGCTGCATTAGGGGTTGGTGCATTTTTGAGGACTAACGCATTCCATATATCATCAATGGGTAACTTTTCCTCAGGATGGCCAGATAAAACCTCGAATAGTGGAGAGTCCCATCTGGTGTTACTGTTTGGTTCTTCATACCTCATCAGCAACTGTTTCATCAAGTCGAGGTTCCACTGCTTCTCCTTTGGAAGTTGCTGGTTCCATTCAAGACATTGTTCAATAGGAGCGGTCACCTGGATTACACAATGAGGTGTGGCCATTCCCTTCGACTCGCAATACAACTGATAACGGAATCCTTTGATGTATGCCATTGAATCGAGAATCACGATTGTGGTTTTGGAAATGTCCCTTTTAACGGCTGAGATTTGAGACCCTCTGGCTAATTTCTCTTTGTTGGAGTCTTCATAAGTATCATGCTCGATACCCAATGTCTCGTCAGAATGGTAGGCAATGGAATAATTATGTCCAGGCTCCCGGGTTTTCTTTGCAGAGCTTATCCTCTTCTCTAATTCATCTTTAAGGTCGTTGGCCCATGCACTTTTCCCTGAGCACGGGAGGCCAGTAAAAATGACTAACGGCATTGGATGATGAGCTTGTGATGGATCGAAAAATTGCAAGCAAAAAAAAAAAAAAAAAAATTCTCCACAGATTTTCACTTTTTTTGGCAACTCCGTTTCCTCCCTCCCCTCCCCCCAGACAACTTAAATGACTAGTTAAAACCACAAAGATGACAAAGTTTGTTCCTAGAAACACATTCCCAAGCTATAATATACCGCTATCCAATTTCAAGGGTCACCACCAAAAAGCTTTGTCTAAAGTGGGACATTTAGCTCCACAGTTGGATCTAATATTGGAGGTACGAGATTGCAGGGCGCCCTTAGCCACTACAAATGTGTTATTCGACAGACTATTATCAACAAAGCGCAAACTCATCCTATATAGTAAAAAGGATTTATCAGTATTGAAACCCGATTTACTCAGCAAATGGCACAGCTCAAAGAACGAGGAGTTTATGTTTGTTGATTGCCGCCATCGGGGAGACTGCAAGAAAATTATCAACAAGATGACTCAAATCTATAACAAGTTGGAAACGAAACCCCCATTGGGTCTAAGATCCATGATTATTGGTATGCCAAATGTTGGAAAGTCAACTTTGGTAAATACTATGCGTCAAGTGGGACTAGGACGGGAGAATAAAGATTCAGTTTCTTCCAAGGTAAGAAAAGTGGCCAAAACGGGAGGACAACCTGGAGTTACGCGATCAACTAGTGAGATCATCAGACTTGCTCGGGACCCAGACATAATGGTTTATGATACTCCTGGTATATTTTTGCCGACTGTAAAGAGTCCCGAGACCATGCTCACATTGGGATTGGTGGGTTGCATCCACGACTCATATATCGATCCGGTAGTTTTAGCGGACTATTTGCTATTTTTATTGAACTTGCAAGACAGTCTGGGAAAATTCTACAGAGACTACATGCTGCATCCAACTAATGATATTTATGAATTGATGTATAATATTTGCAAACAAAGAAACACCTTGAAGCCAGATGGAGGTTTTGATGAGTTAGGCGCCGCAACTCACTGGGTGAATCTTTGGAAGCAGGGAAAGACCAAAAAGTATCGCGCATTGTTTGACCTCGAGGCTATCAAGGAGGCCAGTGAACAGAACATCAGAGATATTCTCAATGCAGAAAGAAAACGAGTCGGATTGTCCAAAGTTCATGAACGAATAGTAGACAGTTTTGGAGATGACGGGTCTTCGACTACACCCCATAGGAAAAGATCGGCTAAGGATCGAGAAGCAGATATGCGAAACAGATTGTTTAAGCTTTAGACGACTATGCACCTAAAATGTCGTCTATTTCAAAATATTCGTCAAATTGATCGTTTCGATCAGAACCAAACACAGAATCTGTTTTCCTCTTCTTGCGACTTGGTTTAGCCTGCACCGCGAAGTTGATGTCAAATACCAGTTTCAACTTGGCCTCAGTCTCGAATGCTTTTTCGAAACCTTCAACATATAGAGCTTTCTCGTTGACGTCAAATATATTACCAAGATTGAGCAATGTATGCTTTTCGTCACTCGTTAAAAATTTCTCAATGAATTGGTCTTGATTAACAAAATTAGACAATGTGCCCTCTGTGCGTAGTGATTTGTAGAGAAGTTTTTGAACATAGTAGTTGAACCGTTTTGAAGCAGGACTTGCTGGTAGGAGCATATTTTCTAACGAAGTGCTCAAATTCTCTTCCGAAGTAAACGGCTTGGACTCTAGAAGGCCAACTTTCAAATTATTCAAGCTATCTGATTGAGTTGTGTCATTTCCCAACTTCTTACTATCAACAAACTTCTCCATTACAGAATCAAGACCACTTTCCTCAGGTTGTTTGAATTCCGGAAATTTGCCAATCTTTTCATCTTCCTTCATGGCCAATCGATGAAGAATGAGAGCATGCCCCCATTTTTCCCCAACCTTCAATTTCTGAGCAAGCGCACAGCATATTTGGGCTTCGGAAGTCTCCTTCTGAACATAACGCACAATAGCTGCAAACCTAAGTTCAGTTAATGCTTGGACAAACGAATTGAAGGCGACTTCGTTCTCGGGAGCAGACCTGGAACTAGGAACAACATAAGAAGGCTCATCCGTTAAATACGTAATGGGTAATTTTCTCGTCTCAATGAAGCCTATAATATTTATCCCAGGGACCGTTTCCAAAGTAGCAGCTTCCTCCAACTCCGGTAACAACGCAACAACATTTCTTTGTGAATACTTAAAGCCGTATGTGTACTCAGAATCTCTAATGTATTGTTTATCCTCATTTGCGTCGCTATCGTCATTGTTGTATTTTCTTGTGTCAAAAATTTCGTCTGCAATATCTGAATTTGCCTTGATATAGTACTTGGTTTGCTTTTTCACACGAGTAATACCTTCCGAATTTGAATCTTGCACGTATTCATGACCATGTGCTTGAGTTTGTACCTTGATCCCTGGATATACTTGCACGTCAAGCTGTATATCATCGCTTATTGCACCTCCTTGGATAAGTGCAAGCGAGCAATCGGTCAGGCAACGAGGACCAATTAACTTCAAAGGCGGACCTTTGGCAGCAAGTTCATCGAAAGAAAATACACTGAACCTCCCGTCGAAAGTTTCGGCAAAGTTCTCAAAGTGTTTCTTCGATTCTCCATTTCCTTCGTTTCCTAAAAGCAACAAATTCGTGGCAACGTTGCAGCTCTCGGAAATGTTTCGCAACTTGTCAACGTCCACATTGCTCTCTTCAATTGAACATGCTCCATTTGTGAGGACCCAAATACTTCTAACAAATTTATTTGCAATTTGATTCTGCAAAGCATTCGCAAGTGCATCGAGTATGCTGTACTCCGAGCTTGTGTCCGAGGCTACACTGTGTGCCCTCACCAGCGCCTCGTAAAATTGTTTGACTTTCGAAAGGGTGACCGGCGTATTGGAGTAAAGGAATTGAACATCGCCTGGTGTATATATGGCAAACGCGTACCGATCCAGTTTACGATTTTTCAACAATTGTTTAATCAATAAGCTCATCGAGAACTTCAACGCCATTTGGAAATCTGTTTCTCCCTGGTTGGGAACCAGTTTTGTGTCCATTGACTTGGATGCATCTATGACAATAGTTGTGTACTCCTTGTTTGACATGGGCAATGACGGCGTCGCAATCGTTAAAAAAGGTGGAGGGAATGTTTCATCTCGCGCGTTCAAAGGATTTGTTTTCATCAGTTTTGCATAAACATCCTTTCTATGTGAATACGTCTATATATATATATTATCTATCTAGTCAAACTCCACTGTCTTATTGTACCGTCCAAACCCGAACTAGAAAATTGCCCCGTTTGTTTTTCGTTGTCGTAATCCACCCAAACTAAGCTTGTAACACCAGAAGCATGCGCAAGGGGAAATTTAACAACCTTGGAAGGTTTCTCAACCGAATACAACAATATTCCACAATCGAGCCCTCCACTTAACAAATATTTCGAGTCCGGTGACCATTGTGCATCGTATGCCTTGCTAGTATGGAAGGCCCACCTCGTTGAGACAACGGTCCCGTCATTTTTGAACAAGGTGTATTTACCAGCCGAGTCAGCTACGGCAAAATATTCACCATCTGGAGAAACCCTGATCAATGTGGGTGGCGTCCTCAACGTGGGAAATTGTTGCGACGTAATGGATAGTTTGGAGTCTTTGTCAACTTCAATACCAACCAAAGTATTTTTTGAAGCATTGGTAACCAATAGTTGAGAGCTTGATAATGGTGCCACATTTGTGCTTGAGAATTCAAACTTGATTGTGGACTGTAATTTTAAGTCTTTGCTGAACAACTGCAACTCAGATTCAAAAAGAACAACGATGCTGTCATCCACGTTACTCAATTGTTTTGGTTGCGATGGCAATTTTGTTGAAGCTTGTACCTTACCGTCCTGCCAACACTTCAATTCGTCGTCCCATCCAACGGAATATAGAGTCCCACGACTAACCAACAAATCGGCCACATAATTACTATGCTCTGTGCCCTTTCCTCCTTGTCTAGAAGGATTCGGTTTGAAGCCATTGGGCTCTACTTCAGTCTTGAACAACTTCCCGTCGGAGCTCCCGCTGTATAACTCTGGTTGTGCAAAAGCCAACTTGGTGATGGGTGCTTGATTACCCTGAACAACTTGGACTATGTCGCCATTTTTAAAGTACGTCAAGTCGCCACCGTAACTCAAAGCGATCACATAATCTTTAGTCACTGCCAAACCAACAAGTTGTTGAAAGATTGTGGGCTTTTCGGCCACTTTGTAAGTCAAAACTAAACCCCCTTCAACACTCCAAGTCTTGACTGATCCATCAGCAGATGCTGTCACAAACGACTCCGAGTCAGGTGTCCAGGCAACGGCAAATATCCCTCCATCATGGCCATTTTCAATCTTTTTGATAAGCTCACCGGTTCTACCTTGGTAAATACATATAGCCCTATCAGAACCAGCCGAGACTATGTATTGTCCATCGGGGCTGAACTTAACGTCACGTATTGCGTTAGTATGATTTCCTCGTAAACTCTTATCAAACTTGAAAGGTGGGCCCTGGTAGAAAACCATTGCAAAATCGTCCCCTACAGTAGCAGCTCTGTATGGCCTCTGGGGTTTAATGTCGACTGCATTAATAGTACTGCTATGACCCTGAATATCACCAATGGAATTACCAGTATCCCAAGAAAATGCGTGCCCAAATTTTTCCTTTCCTTGGCCAACAGCAATAAGACGTGCATTATCAGCGTCCCATGCAATTGACCGAATTGGACCTGACATAACCTGAAATTCACTCTTTATAATTGGTTGCTCAAAGACTTCGTCACCCTTTTTGGGTGCCGCATCCCATATTTTGATCTGGCCAGACTCGTCACCCGAGGCAACATAGAAGCCAGAAGGAGAGAACTTCACTGCGGTGGTTGGATGTATATGTTTGGTGAACACAACAATGGGGGAATTCGAATTGAAATCAACTGGACGAATAATAACGGATTTACCATTGACGTAGGCCAACCTATCATTCACCGCGTCATATGCAATATGAGCGGCTTGACCCCTCTGCGTGGAGGGCTGAGGAGGAGCAAGGGCAATTGGTTTAATAGACATTGTGATTTATTGCTGTGGGGGGTCTACAATAATACTGGCGTTTATGTCTGATTGTGATTGGGCGAACGGTTGGTTCAAAGAAAGAAAAGAAAAAAAAATAAAAATAAAAAAAAAAAAATATTCCTCACCGTCACGGACGCAACCTTTATAGTCAATTCTTTTTCACCTCCAGCAATGATTAGGATTGTTACATCTAAACCGATCTCCTTGACGGGTTTGAGATGTCTTTCGACAACATCGTTAAGATTGAGCCCAAAGGATGTTGGAAAACCCCCACGTTTACCTGAAGTAAGGGCCGAGCCATTGGTACCAACTCCCCCTAGCATCACTCCAATTGAAACCAAAGTGGTTCCACCTCCACCACCTCCTCCCACGGTGAAGAAGGCTAAGAAGTTTTCATTATTTGGCTTCCTTTTCAAGACATCCCTATTAGCATTAGTTGTGTACGGAGGAACAATGTACCTTGCTACTAAGAACGACGACGTCATGGACTTTGTTGTGGATCACGAGATCCCATTCCATGAGGAGACAATTGACTTTATTGAAAACGGCTCTTACGAGGATTTGGAGGAACTCTGGTACACGATCAAAGGTAAATTTACAGATGTCAAGTTGCCATCAAAAAATGACATTGAGCAATTTACAAGTGATTTGGAACACAAAGGTGGAGACTTTATAAAAGAAACGAAAAAGAAGATAACTGGGGCTGTTCACGAAAGGAAAGGAACCGAATTGACTCCTGTCGAACAATTACAAAAACCAGTTGAGGTGGAGAGCGTAACAAGAGACGTTGCTAGATTGCCTTTGATTGAGCTTAAATCCGACATCGACAGCTCAGTTGACAAATCTGTCAAGAAAACTATATCCTTATTGAATGATTTGATTCAATCAATTGATGCTAGCTCATTAGCTCAAACAAATTCAAGTCTCGTAAAGTCAATTGATTCCAGTGTCAATCAATTGGCCACCAAATTGAATGTATTGACTAGAGAATTTGATAGCGAATTACAAAATAAGTTGAAAGTTTCACAAACGGAACTTTTTTCGTCATTCACCAAAAAGGAATTGGAATTGACGGAAAACTTGATCGACCAATTTAACCAGGAAAAAGCTCAATTAGAAAAGAGATTGAACCAGAGATTGGAGCATGAAATCCAAGCAGCAAAGGAAGCAATCAGCCAAGCAGCAAACAATGCCGTTTCCATGGTGAGAATTGAGCAGACAAAAAATTTTGAAGCTTTAGTCACAGAGAGAATTAATGAAGAGAGAAACGGTAGATTGGCAAACTTGGAGAAGTTGAATGACAAGGTTAACGAGTTGGAAAAGTTTGCCGAGAGTTTTGAACGCCAAATTTCCAATAACCATAAAAGAAGCTTGATACAGCTGTCAGTTAATAAATTGAAGTTGTTGTTGTTGACTCCACCCGAAGCCTCAGACACGCCCAAAAGCATTGAACCCTATGTCAAGACTTTGAAAGAGATTTCAACCGATGATGAAGTCTTGAATTTGGTTTTAAAGGACTTGGACGTATTGCTTGCAAAGGAATCGACGCACTCTTTATTAACAAATGCTCAATTATTGACTCGATGGGAACAGTTGGAGCCTGAGTTGAGGTCAAGCTCGTTGTTGCCACCAAATGCAGGATTGTTGGGACATTTGTCGTCATTGATCTTTTCAAAACTTTTGTTGCCTGTTAAAGGAGTGAAGGAAGATGGTAAAGACATCGAGTCCGTGATTGGAAGAGTTGAGTCTAGCTTGGCAAGAGGACAATTGGACATTGCAGTGGAGGAGGCAACAAACTTGAAAGGATGGAGTAGAAGATTGGCAAACGATTGGGTCTTACAAGCACGTAAAAGACTCGAAGTTGAGTTCTTACTCAGTTTGATTGAAACTGAGTCCAGACTTTTGTAAATGAGAGTAGTATGTACCACTAGGTGTAGATGCAAATATATTCCCTAAGATTATATCCCCTTGTTGTATGTGTAGTAGTAACTCTGTGCGGCGTCAGATGAGATGCAAATATGGAAAAAAATAAAAAAAAAGAAAAGAAAAAGAAGGAATGTTAAATCAAGCTCCGTTTTATCATCTTCCTTGTGGATAAGAATGAGTGCTATCGAATATATATCTACGACGGATGTCAGCTGTCAGAGGTGTAAAGAAGAGACTGCTATTTTGAAAGCAAGAAGTGAGTTTCATTGCAAGCAATGTTATTTGCGCCTTGTACGTGGGAAACAAAGAAAGCAGATGTCAGCGGAGAAATACAAGATCAACTACAAGAAATCAACTTCGGGTCAGTTAGAGAAGGTATTAGTAGCATTTTCAGGAGGTGTATCGTCACTAGTGCTACTCGATGTTTTGGGAAATTTACTATTGGAGCAACAACAAACACATAAAGGGTTACAAGGGTTTGAAATTGTCGTTGTTAATTTGGATGAGAAGGAGTTGAATTCGTTAAATAAGGATGTTGTGGATGTTCTACCGGAGATTTTATCAAGATTTGAGCCAGTCAAAATCTCATTCAAGAAAGTATCCATGAACTCTTATGTGGACCCAAATAGCTTGAATGAAATTCACATTGAAAATGATTTCAGCTCATTCGCAAGTCCCTTGGAAGCACGACCATATACTCTTATTGAGTTGTTGAGTATGTGTCCTAACAAATCATCGGCGGAGGACTTGCTAAGTATCGTGTTTGAAAAATTACTTTTGCAAGCTGCATATGAAGAAGGATGCGGGACTATAGTGCTCGGTCATTCAATGACTAGAATTGCTAATGAAGTTATAGCCCTCACTGTTAAAGGCAGAGGCTCTTCTATACACAAGCTAATATCGAATAGATCTCACAGCTATAAGGGCAAGGATATTGACATCATATACCCTTTGCGTGATCTATTGTTTGCAGAGATTGAAGAATATGCTCGACTTGCGGACTTGAAAAAGTATGAGCTTCATTCACAAGTAGTTAAATCGAGGGTATCGAAAAACTTGACTATACGAGATTTGGTGAGTAATTATTTCTCCAACTTGGATGCAACGGGGTATTCATCTACGGCATCAACAGTTATGAAAATTGGCCAAAAATTGGGCTCCCCAGAAACAGAATCAGTAACAACATGTAAGTTATGTGGAGTAGATATATATCTGGATCCTAAAAGTTGGCTAAAGACAATCACTGTGAATGATCCAGCACCAGTCCAAACAGAGGAAGAAAAAAGCTATTTAAAAGAGTATTTATCGAGCGTGGAACATGACATGAATGATGCTCCCAGCGGGGCAAAAATTGAACTTTGTTACGGATGTATCACCACATTAAATGGTGTACAAGGGCATAAGGGATTCATATGGCCCATTGAGCCCAGCATAAATTTGGAAAGAGAAGATGTTTCAAGTATAGACAAGAAGAGACAGATATTGGACGAGTTTGTATTGACCGATACTGAGGACGATTAGATGTGTTACTATAGTTGTGATGGGTGTGTTTGTATAGTTTGTAGTTTATAAAAGAACTTACTGCATTGCAATATTTTGTCTTCTCATCAGTTTTTTTTTGTCTTTTTCTTGGGTCCAAGTTGCAACAGAACAACAATCCCCACATACCCAACTGACCCAAGAATGTTCTTACTGGACTTGTCACCACATGGGATCCATCATCTCTGGTCGGACGAGAGTATTTCTACTCCAATCAGCTCGTCACGATACACTACCACCGCAAACAACAATTCTGAAACCAAAAAACAATACAACAAGTTGTTTGCACCACCGTTGTCTTCATACACCGCTGCTTTTCCTGGACCAGACCCGTTCCAATTGGAGCAGTTGCAAATATTACGATCTGATAAGCCACAGCCGTCTATAGACGACCTAACTTTGTTGATAAGAGTGAAGGAGGAGCGATTGATGAGGATCAGAAATACTGGGTATTCAACAATCAGACCAATTGGAATCGGACGAACGATGGAGGAGATAGATTACGCTCAGAGAGGGTATACTGCTATTGAAGACAGTGCTATAAATAATAACGTAGCTGCTGAGAATTCCAATGAGGAGGAAATGAGCACAATGCCGTTGAATGTTGGCGAACAAGAAGAAGTTGATCTTGATGCTGAAATATTAGACGCAGATGCACTTCAATCCGATGAAGAAGAAGAGGAGGAGGAGGAGGAGGAAGATGATGATGATGACGAGGAAGATGGTGATCAGAGTATCCCGGCTCAACACTACATCCCAAGAGATCAAGGATATGTCTTAGACGACGATGGATTCATGGCGGCCGAAGTCGAGTATCAAGATGACCATAGCTTGAACTCGGAGTCAAGTACCCACATTTTGATGAGCAGTGCTATTACTGCTAGCGTTTTGCCTACTCGTGCAACTGGTAACCAAACATCAGCTACCAATCCTACCACAGCTCCATCTTTCCAAACTATAGAGGAACAACATTTTGATGACGAGAATGAGTACTCAGAACAGGACATGGTTGTTGATTAAGTTGAGCTTACGGTTTTTATACTATCTACTTTAGCATCTTGTAAATGTATGGCCGGAACCATCCATTTCCCACAAGAACAACGCGATCCTTTCCAACTGTAGCCCCCAACTTTTGAACTGCATTTCGGACACTGGAATTTACCTTCGATTTCCGACTTTTCTAGCTCTGTCTTCATCCAATCTACTGGCTCCGTAAAGAAATAGTGAGAACAAGTTTTGCTTGCTGGTTGCACTGAAACTATTCTCCGTGAGTTGGGAGCAGTTTTAATGAATTGTGCTTGTCGAGAATCAGATGTGGGCACCTGATGGTCTTCTATGTTGGAGCTATGTGCAAGTACTTGTCTGCATCGTTTACAACGTAGGTCATACGGCAGTGGTGTTGTGCTGGAGTCTGTTGCAATCGAATTCATCGTAATCTCTCGCAAATTCTCACCAGTAGGATCTTGTTGCAACGAAAGGTTTCTCAAGTAGTTCCTGTATTGTGTATTTTGTCCGTCAACTGTGAAGTTCATTGACTCGTATATCTTGATTTGTTCAAGAAAGGCTGGATTGGGTCCTGCATCCGGGCATTTTCTCTTTACTGCATGCAACGCTTGATCAATATTCAACTTGTAATGCTTCATCAAGTACACCATAACAATGGCTACTGAACGAGATACACCTTGCGCACAATGAACAAGAATTTTGCCTTTGTCTTGCGTTGCCTCTTGAATGAACTTGTCACATTCATCAAAGTATGGTATCAAGTTGGTTGTTTCTTGATCTGTTACCTCAATTTGTTTATGATGATAGTGTTGAGTATACGTCTCATCAATGGCTCCCGGTAGGATCGATAAAATGTGTGTTATTCCGTACTCTTTCTCGAGATCCACCTTGTCGTTGATGGGGTCTATCGATGAGAGGTAAATCCCTCCTAGTATTCTTTCAACCAGCATGTATCGAGGACAGTAGTACAATACGATGAGCATCTTTGCGGAAAGTTCAGAAAAAAAAAAAAAATAAAAAAAAAAAAAAAAAAAATTTATCAACAGTAATTACACAAAAAAAAATCGTAACCAAATAATCTTAACTCAACACGACTATAAACCACCAATGAATTAAACTTGAGGCAACTTCAACCTCATTCTCACTTAAAACTCCAAAATCTCTTCAACCCTTCCAAATTTTCCCTAGCCAATGCAAATGACGATTTTTCAAAAATCTCATCAATTTCTTCCAAGGTCTTTCCCTTAGTTTCTGGCATAAACAAGACTTGGTAAAAGAATCCCAAAAACGCAATACCTCCGTAGAATCCAATGGTCAAACCAGTATATGTAAGTGCTTCTTTCATTCTGTTGAAGTTGTAAGTGACTGTGAATGACCACAAGTACAATAATGCTGAACATAAAGTGACACCTTGCGATCTAGTTCCAAGACTAAACGATTCTGAGGGAACAACCCACGTCAAGCATGCATATGAACCAAAGAATCCCATGTATAGTATGAGACCTGTCAAGTAGACACCCTCTGCTGCTTGCAAATTGGTATCAATAGGAATCAAGTAACCCACACCCACCAAAACCAACCCGATAAAGAATCCAATCAAGTTGTAACCCCATATTCTTCTTCCGAATTTATCCATGTACAAAATAGCTGGGATGGTTCCAATAAGTAATGAACCACCACCAACCAAGGACATAAACACAGCATTCTTGTCCGAGAATCCAATCTGTTTCATCAAATCTGAAAGGTAATACATAACGGCATTGATACCAGTCAATTGCCCTAATGTAATCATAATCAACCCATAGATCAAAGCACGTCTGTTTCTTGGCACTGTGAACAATTCAACCCAAGCCTTGTACTTTTTCGTTGTCAAACGTATTTCTCTTTCGTGTTCGGCCGCTTGAATCATTTGCAAAAATTCAATCTTGCTTCTCTTATCATCAATATCCCTCAATCTTGCAAACACATTGAATGCTTCTCCGAATTTACCCTTCTTGGCAAGGAAACGAGGCGATTCAGGTAAAAAAATCAAACCAATTAACAAAATCGTTGAGAACACCAATGACGATCCCAACATGTATCGCCATCCAGCATGGGTTGAAATGAAAATTGCCGCAATTGCATAACCCAACACTTCACCAAATGCAATGAAAAACTGATACGCGCTGACCAAAACCCCTCTTTTGTCACTGGGGACAGATTCGGCAATGTAGACATTGACACCACCACCTTCGATACCAACACCTAATCCCAAAATGAATCTACCTGCGTACAACACGTTGGTTGAGTTTTTGTTGAAAAATGATGACCCAACTTGGTGTGGGATTGGAGTAGCAGCACACATGATTGCACCAATGGTGTATAGAATGCATGACGCTGTGATTGCATTTTTTCTACTGAATTTCTGCAACGGTGGCAATAATAAAGAGCCAGCAACAGCCCCAAGAGGCATCAACGCTGAAACCAATGAGTTTTGATCACCAGTAAGATGCAACTGCGAGTTTAAGCCTAGTTGAGCACCACTAATTATAGATTGGTCAACACCACTCAAAACACCAGCAAATGAAGCAAACCCACCCAACAAGTGGACCATGTGATGTTTGTTTTTGAAATTGACAGGTATTTCAAACCTCTTTAAGTTGTTCCAAAACCCACTAGTTTGTTTTTCAGCATCACCGAGTTGTCTGTATTTTTCAAACTCTTCATCAACGTTGATATTGGCGCCCTGTTCTAGCGAACCTTCGTCATATTCCACTTGAACTTTTTCTTGATGTGAATCGATAGCCTTTTCAATGATTGAGCTAGACATAGTTGGAAAAGTGTAGTGGTATGTAATGTATTGTCTCGGCATGAACAGAAAGATGGAGGATTTGCATGGCTTTATATACCACGAAGGATCGTTAATGGAAGCGTGGCGGAGAAAGAGCATACGACGCGTACAAAACCCCAGCCATCTCCACTAATGAATGTTATGAGCAATAAGTGGAAACAATGTGGTTGCTGCAGTGTTTGTTATTGTGATCTCATGGCTACAAAGTGAGTAACAATTGTAATCGGATTATCTCCTCCGAATAATTGTCTCCGAAGGCGACGCCTTGAGTTTGTTTCTTTTTTTTTTTTTTTTTTTATGCACCGTCTAATTAAACTTAATGACTTTAGCATTAATCAAGGCAAAGATGTTCTCTACACATTCAGTAATGCCCTTTGTGTTGTAATTGCAGATGTACGTTTGGTGGGGTATAACAATAGAAGGTTAGGTTAATTTGGAGGAAAAATTTTTCCTGGATTGTTCTATTGTTGGGGGATACGCGCTTACGAGATGATTTTGGTGGGGGAGGGGGGGGGGCTGGAGTTATTCCTTCTGTTTTATTAGCTAAAGTCAGATAGAGAGACTATACTCGGTGGATGCTTACAGGTAATCATACCGTCTCCGTGACCACCAACAACTGCTCCTGCTGTACTTACTCTTTCCTCCACTGGTGTGTGTAGGACAATAGAGTTTTGGGGATTTTTGTTATTGTGTTCGGATTAACTTATGGTTAATCGTGCGAGAAATGTTCCGTGCATGATACTATGGAGTCAGGACACAAAGCTATCTCATACAATTACATCATACGTTCTTAGCATCTCAAGCACTTCCTTGGGGGGGAAAGAGAGATTTTGTATACGTGTGCAGACGCCTTACTTATTGTCTCAAAGAATAGAGATTTGTTGGGTACAATCTACCTTTTTAGTGCTTCTTCATATGCAGCGGGGTAACTTTATCACTCAACTCGAGTATGCATTGGTTATGGAGTTGATATTTTTAGATAGTTACAAGGCACGCCGTTTATACCAAGTAGGCTAGAAATCATTTATTGTTATTTTTTCCGGATTACCAAGAGCCTCAAACTTGATCTTGAACTCCTCACTTAAATGTTCCTTTAATCTCACCATTGAATTTGCAAACGTTTTGCTACAAATTGAACATTTCAAAGGAGTCGACTTGATTATATCTTCCAACACCGCAACTGATCGTGTGTGTTTCACAAACTCGGGTTGATCATCGTCCTGCAGACTAGTAGAAGATGCTTCAGACCCGGAATCAAAACCATTGTCATAACGATTGTTCAATCGATTATAAGCTTCATTATACAAGGGATTCAACAGTTCAAAGTTGACAAAAAACTCAGTGGTGAATGAATTGTAGTGCTTTTTATTCTTCAATCTCGGAGAATGGAAATCTTGTGTCATTACGTGAATGTGCAAATTGTTTAGTGATGGGATCGAGTGAACTCCGGCTTTGATAAATTTATTCCTCAATTCTTGGATTTCAGCAGCTTCTGCGATCCCTAACTTTGCTGCCAAGTTGTTTGCAATCAAATCTTTGGCCTTTTCAACGTATTCTCCAACCATATCATACAACTCTTCCCCCGTATGCTCCTTGTAGTTTGTGTTGAAAACATCCAATGGGTGTTTGTGCGTTACATCAGGGTGGCGAGGTATTACAAGTAAGTGACGTATGGATTTGGGGTACATATCCTTGATTATAACTACATTCTCATCCTGGAATAGAACCGAGTCAAACTTCTTTGGTTGGTCAATGATTTTTTGAAACGCATTAGCAAAACTCATCTTCAATTAGTGGCCATACGGCGCTACATGATGGAAAATTTTATGATGCGATTAAATGATTGGTTTTTATATACACATTTACAGATGCATGCAGATTGAGCCGAGTACAAGAAACTTTTACGTCTTTCTCTTTCTTGGAGAAGTAGTCCCGTTACTTTTTGCGATTTTTGGTTCATCAATCAAAGCTGCAGTGTCAACTCCATTGCTTTCAACTACGCTTTGCTTCCCCGTCACTTCTTCTCCCTTTTTAGCATTCAACTCCTCATTATCTTTCAATTTGACTTGTTGGAGTTCATTTATGAACCAAACAACTGTTCCATAAAGCAATACTGCAATGACAAGTAAATTTACAAAATGTATTGATTTTGTCAAATATATCAATGTAGCAAGTGATGCAAGCAATAGAATGAAGGAGGCATGAGTTGCCTTGATCAAAGCTGGTGTAGTTCCTGGTGTGAAAATAGATTCCCACAATTCAACAATAAACGCCATGGGTAAGGAGATGGATACGTATATTCTAAATGATATAAAGTGGAGTAGTGTAGAAGATGTTGGTTGTCGCGATTGTTCTCAGTGAAAGAATTGGAAATTTTTTCATACGCCCATAGAAGCTTTGGATAAGAAGTAATCTGTAACCATGTCAGCAGATACAGAGATAAGATATAACACATTGCAGAATGGCACATGATCTATACACTACCAACAACTGGCTCATCCTGTTTCCTCTTGAGTATATGCTTGTTAATGAAGTCGTGTAAATTTGTTCATCAAATGTGGTAGCGTTGTTGATTGGTAGCGGTGGTTTTTTTGTGAAAAAGGTGGATGACAAGTTTTTTCTTTATTTTCTTTTTTTTATTTTTTTTTTGCCTCTTAGCGGCTGGCAAACGTAAATCAATCAAATAACACCCTTGTAAAATATACATTGATAAACTAGACTAAACCATCAAACTATATTACTCATCACACTACTATAAGCCCACTACAGACAGATGACAGCAATGATAGTACCAGACGATTCATTTATTAGCGATGACGAAGAGGAATATTGGTATGTAAAAATACACCACGATCTTAGAGGCGCACACAGCTTACTAACCTAATGATATCTAGTCCATTATGTGTTGAAGAGATGGATATTTCAGACAAGAACTTCAAACCATGTCCGTGTGGATACCAGATATGTCAGTTTTGTTACAACAATATTAGACTGAACCCGGAATTGAATGGACGATGCCCTGGTTGTAGGAGATTGTATGACGACGAGAGTGTTGAATACAAGACGATTAGTCCGGAAGAGTACAAGATCCAACAAGCAAAGAAGGAAAAGAGGGAACGTGAAAAGAAGCAGCGTGAAAAGGAAAAGAAGGAACTGGATATGGCCAACAAAAAACACTTGTCAGGATTGAGAGTGGTGCAAAAAAATTTGGTATATGTTACTGGGTTGAATCCACCTTGTAGCCCAGATGAATTGCATTCAGTTTTAAGGTCAGACAAGTATTTTGGCCAATATGGAAAGATCAACAAAATTGTCATCAATAAAAAGAACCCCAACCCTCTGAATTCGTCCACTCATCACCATCAAAATCCTGGATTGGTTGTATACGTCACATTTGCCAAAAAGGAAGATGCGTTGAACTGTATAACTGAGCTTGACGGATCTTTGTGTGATGGAAGAGTATTGAGAGCAGCACATGGTACCACAAAGTATTGTTCATCATACTTGCGTGGTCATCCATGTCCAAATCCAAATTGTATGTTTTTGCATGAACCTGGAGAAGAAGCAGACTCATTCACTAGAAAGGACTTGTCAACACAACAAGGTATAAAGATGGGTATGACGTCTAGAGCACATACCACATCATTTGGAGAAGATACTTATATTCCTAATCATCAGCTCAGCCAAATGACCGATGAGGATTTACAACAATACCAACATCAACATCAACAACAACAACAACAACATGGCCATCAAGGTAGCCACCATGTGTCCAATCAACATTTCCATAACGACTTGAGCAAGGAGCATTTACCTGTCACTGCCCATTGGGCCAATGCTAATGGACAAGTTTCTGGACAAAGCTCACCAAGTGTCAACAACAATGTCCCCTTGGCTAACGCAGCTGCATTTCCAACATTGGGTGAGATTGCTCGCGAGAAGCAACAGCAACAGCAACAGCAGCGCAGGGAGCCCAAATCGAGGGTCTCAAGTACAAAATTATCCAAAATCAACAGCTCTACACCAGTTGATGATGTTGATTTGAATGATGATTCGGTTATTCCATTCATTGAACTGATTGTAGCCGAAGTCAAATCGTTGGATGAAATCAAAAATGTCAAATTCAAGTCGTTTGGCGACGCGGATAAACCGTTGCCATTATTTGCATTTGGGGGAGGTTTTACTGACTCGACTACCACCAAGCCAGAAGATGAAAAGGTATTGGCGCGTCAAGTTATAGAAAAGTATTTATTGAGGCCAGTTAAAAACTATCATTTGGCATATCCTAACCATCCAATCATGCAACAACAAGCATTATTACAACGCCAACAGCAGCAACAACAACAACAACAACAGTCACAACCACAGCAACAAGGTACTTCCGGTATGCTGTACACTCAATTGCAAGACAAGACTGTCGATCAGCACTTGTTGGCTCGTCAATTGCAACAGCAACAGTTACAGCAATTACAACAACAACAACAACAACAACAGCAGCAGCAGCAGTTGAATCAGTTGAACATGGTCAAAACTGGTGATCGTGTCAATACTTCGACCCCACCACCTCCTGGATTGTTTGCAGGTAGAACACCAACCACGCAAAACGATGTTCCCTTGGTTGGTGCTGGTGCTCCGCAACGCACTTCGTCGCAGTTGTTGACGCAATTAATGAGCAAGAAATGATCCATATATATATATATATACGTATATATAATGATGTTAATGTATTAATACACCACATACTCGAAAATAGACAAAATTTATCCATGTGTAAATGTAGTCGTACGTATTTATGCTATACTTGGTTGCTATTTATAACATTATACAACATTAAATCTATAGAAGGGTACAAGCCCCATTTATCTATATTTGCATCCAAGACATTTGGAACAAATGTAACCGCAGCTACTTTTTAGCAACCTTTTCCTTCTTGACCCTTTTCAGATTAGGTTTCGGCTTCACATTCTTCTTCAACTCATATATTCGAGGATCCAACAACCGCCACTGATGCTTAGGATTCAACCCTTCATGACTATGAATAATCTTCCCTGCCTCTTTCGCATTCTCAGTGATCTCCTTTCTCGCGATACTCAATCTCGGCACTTGAGTCGCCAACTCATCAAAGCGGATTTCATCCTCAATACTCCTTATCTTCTCACTAATGAGTCTGAGCTTAGTTTCCGTTTGTCGTATAGTCTCCCCAGGTAAGCTGGGTTTATGTGTCAATTGCTGAGTTTCGAAATATGATTTGCAAACGTTGTATTCGTAAACTAATTCGTCGAGTTTGGTGAGCACGTAAAAGGGTGTTTGTTGATCAGAAGAGAATTCGGATTCGAGAGAGCGGTATTGGTTTATTAGTGAGTCTTTGCGTTCCAAGTATGCGTTGAGTTTTCTTTGTGATGACATGTTTGGGGAAACGAGTGGGAAAAGTGGGGAGGGGGGAAGGACGTGTTTGAAGAGATGATCGGATGATGGTATGTATAACTTATATCTCCGTATGTCTTTGTGTGTGTGAATGATTTCGAGTGCTTGTCCTATGTTCGACTGGAAAAGCAAGGCGTCTGGATAGTTAACCGAAATGTATTGTGTGGTTAGTGAAGTGTATAAAGTTGAGAATCTTGTTAAACAGTACAATGCAAGTTTCAGAGGGTGTGTAATGTGTATATTTTGTGTTTGAGGTTTGTTTGATGTTTTGAGTTTCAGATTTGAAATCTTGTGACAATCAGGACTCACTCTATTGTTTACGAGAAAAAAGAGACAACAAAAAATCAAGAACTTGCCATTATCGATAGCTCCAAACAACACTAAAGCCTGTGTCTAGTATCACCCGATAGGGAGGCGTTTGCAACATATAATACTGAACTTAGGGTGACATCCATTATAAGCGCAAGTGTAGAGGATGAATTTTACAAATTGCTGCAATTTTATCAACAAAATTTGCAACAATTCTTCAAATAAAAATTTGGACAAATTTTAAGCAAAACCGATACACATCTTTCAAAAGCACAGTTATAATTGTTTTTAAGACCAATTTCTGCAAAGCCGGCTCTTTCGGTCGACACTAATGGTGACTCAGTGACTTTTGGACAGCTTGTTGTGAAATCATCTTTGAATAGGCGGTCTTCCTTCCCTCATCTTTCTCTCTCTCTCTCTCTCTATTTTTTTTAGTACGGATGTATGTACTTGAATTGAATATTTTGTACATGTGTGCTGTTCAATCCAATTCATCTCTTCTGATTTACCAATCTATTTCTATATACATACGGTTGAATGGTGTGCTTTATGGACTACTACTTACAACAGTACTGCACTTACCACACAACGAGTCGGGTTCAGGTGCAGTATACTTCCAACAACGTCCACATTTGTGATCATTTGAATGTCTGATGACAACACCGACTTTGTCTCCTCCATTGATGTCCAAAATTTGTCCCTTCTCCAGTTCAACAGCGTTGCGATCAACAAGTTTTGCTTTAGATACCAAGAACAAATCGTCAAGGTACAATTGATTTGACTTGATGAATTCAAACAACGGCGATGACAAATCGTTTGTCTCTGGATCAAACAAGAGAATCTCCAACTCCAACTTATTTTTGAAAAAATCGTCATTCTTCAAAACTTCAATCCCCTTGTAAATCTCATCTCTCAATTTGAAAAAGCTGTTGAGTCGAGATTCCAACTCCTGGTTCAAATACGAGTCAGGTAGGGCAAACATCTCTGAAGATCCTTTAAATGGTGAATCACAAACACTTTTGTTGATTTTAACATACTCATCCCACACTTCCTGCACCGTCAATGGTTGAATTGGTGCCAAGATCCCCACATACGTCTTCAAAATATCATTCAACACAGTCTGGATCGCTCTCCGTCTAATTGAATTGGGACCATCTGTGTATAAACAATCTTTCGAAACGTCAAAATAAACAGCACTCAAGACAGAATTGACATGAGCATTAACTGAACTCACAACACGTGAAAAGTTAAATGACTCGTAATATCCAGCACAGTTCACTTGCAATTGACGCAACGTATGCAAAATGTACTTGTCTAAATCACTCAATTGTGAATAAGGCACTGGCGTATTGTCAAAATCGTACAAGTTCCCCAATAAATACTTGAATGTAACACGATACTTCTTTCCGACTTCACTAACTCGAGTCAATACTTCTGGATGGAACCCAACATCCTGCTGATAATTGGATGAAGCAGCCCATAATCTCAATCCATCAGTACCAAGGATCGGCGTCCATGGTTTTTTACACCCTTCAATGGCTTCGAGTGGTGAGAAAATGTTGCCCTTGCTCTTGGCCATTTTTTGTCCTTGAGCATCAGTAATGAATCCATGTGTAATTACAGTCTTGTACGGGGCCATTGATTGGAAAGTTTGGCCCTCGTTACCTGAATAGATTACCTTGTTGAGCAAGGAAGATTGGAACCACCCACGATGTTGATCACTACCTTCAAGATACACGTCGGCTAATGGCTGCATCGTAGTGTCGTTGCACTCCTTGATATCATCACGTAACGATGTCCACGAGGTTCCGGAATCGAACCAAACATCCATTGTATCTTGCCCCTTGTAGTATTTACCACCATCCATATCTAAAGGCAACCACCTACCAATATCGTCCTCTTTCACAAACCATTCATCCGTACCAAACTCATCAATTTTGCTGATGATGTGGTTAATCACATTCATGTCCATCACCGGCTTGTCTGTACTTGTATCGTACACAATTGGCAATGGCACACCCCAAGATCTTTGTCGGGAAATACACCACTCATCTCTATTCTCAATAAACGAGGTCAATCTGTTGTATCCACTGGCAGGGTGAAACTCCACCTTGTTTAATGCTTCCAAAGCAAATGGCTTAATCTTGTCGACATTTACAAACCATTGTGGAGTTGCACGTTGTATAACGGGAGTTTGTGATCGCCAATCATATGGATACGAATGTATGAAATTCTTGTTGACATGGAAAATCATATCATGTTGTTTCAAAAGGTCGACACAGAGCATATTAGATCTTATTTCATTCACTTTTAAAGGACCCAATTTTTGGAACCCCGGCGGAAGTGCCTCAACAATGTATTTCCCTTTGTTATCAACGCAGGATGAGTCAATGTTGATCCCATTTTGTTTAGCAACAAGGTAGTCTTCACGCCCATGGGCCGGAGCACCATGGACTAGACCCGTACCTGCTGTTCCAACAACATGATCACCATGTATAACCGGCTTTTGTAAGTTATCTGCAGCAGCTGGGTTTATATAATGCAAGCCAATCAATTCACCTCCGGGAATGTCAATGTCGATACTTGTGTACTCGGGATCTAATTTGAGCACCTCTTGTATTAAAGGCTTGGCGACTACAAGTACCTCATCTTCTTTTGCAATCAACGTGTATGTCAAGTTTTTATTCACGCAGATGGTTTTATTAGCAGGAATCGTCCATGGAGTACTTGTCCAAATCAACAATTTAACACGATCAGTGTGCAACAGCGACAAATGTCCGCTCTTGTCCAATATCCGCCTCAATTTACCATCTTCATCAATAATGGGGAACTTCACGTATATCGCCACTGATTTGTGTTTATCGTTATACTCCAATTCAGCTTCAGCCAATGCGGTTTGCGTTTCACATCCATACCACACCGGTTTCAATTGCTGGCTCAATAATCCATTCTCGACCAATTTGCTAAAAACTTGCAACTGCCTACTTTCAAACTCATGATCCATTGTGATGTACGGCTGGTTGAAGTCCGTCATTATGCCCAAATCCATAAACTGTTTGCGTTGATTATCAATCATCGTCATGGCATAATTTCGACACGCCCTTCGAACCTCAACTGGACTCTTGGAATTTACACCACTTAGACTGTGCTCCACTTTCAATTCAATTGGTAACCCATGACAATCCCATCCAGGTTGGTACCGGATTAGTTTATCTTTATGTATCAATTGGTATCGATTTATGATATCCTTGCAGATTTTATTCAAAGCGTGACCAACGTGCAATGTACCGTTCGCATATGGTGGCCCGTCATGAAGAGTGAAAGGCTTGTGGTTGGCTTTGTTTTGCTGTTGCCAGTGGTAAATGTCAACACCAGTTCTTTTGATAAGTTTGTCTCGAGCTTCACCGCGTGGTATTTTGGGACTGAACTGGGTTTGGGGTAGTTGTACTGTCTTTGAATAGTTGGGCCTGTTCAAATGAGCCGCAAATGTGGTGAGACATCGTGTTTGAGGGAGTGTAAATAGTAGCATTGCAGATGTATAACACAGTGATGGAGTTTGGTTTTGAAAATTTTCTGTTGCAAATAATCCTACGCAGAAAATGGCGACACCCATTGAAATTTGTTTTTTGACTTTGCCTAGAGTTACACATGGAAACAAAGCAACGCCAAAGAGAAGACAGAGAGAGTTACTCAACAAATCTACTTGATACTCTATTCACATCACCATTTGTTAAAATAAAAAATACATTCATTGCCTTTGTAAAAGCTTTGCAGGGAGGGATTTTATATACAAACCTTTTATTTTCTACGATTCTAGTGCCCCCCCTTCTCTCTCCTTCTCTCTCCTTCTCTCTCCTTCCTTCTCCCTTCTCTCTCCTTCCCTCTCCCTTCTCTCTCCCTTCTGTTAGTTGTCTCTGATTTAGTTGTTTGATTTGATATTCTTAACCAATTCAATGTACTTCTCAGTTGAGAATGACTTAGGGCGTTCAATTGGCATACCAACACCTCTGTCCAAAATCAATTGTGGCAATACACCAAATGCTCTAGCAACACCAAACAAGACAGTGTAGAAGGATTCTTCAGTCAATCCATAGTATTGCAACAAGACACCAGAGTGGGAATCGACATTTGGCCATGGGTTCTTGGTCTTACCTTGCTTGGTCAATACACCTGGAGCAACTTCGTAAATGTTTGAAACCAACTTGAACAATTCATAGTCTGGCATGTGTTTCAAAGCAAATTCTCTTTGAGCAGTGTATCTTGGATCAGTCTTTCTCAAGACAGCGTGACCATAACCAGGAACAACTCTACCAGCATTCAAGGTTTCCCACAAGTATTTCTCAATATTTTCCTTGGAGTAGTCACCCTTCAATTCCTCCTTCATCTTGAACAACCATTCCAAAACTTCTTGGTTGGCTCTTCCATGCAATGGACCAGCCAAACCATTCAAACCAGCAGCCAAAGACAACATTGGTGAGGACAAAGCTGAACCAACCAAGTGGGTAGTGTGGGCAGAAACGTTACCACCTTCGTGATCAGAGTGGATAGACAAGTACAATCTCATCAATTCCAAAAATTCTGGGTTTTCGTAACCCAACAAATGAGCAAAATTGGCACCGTAATCCAATTTACCATCAATTTGGGCTGGCAATTTACCATCCTTAAAGACATTTCTGTAAATCTTGGCAGCAATAACTGGCAATTTAGCCAACAATGAGATGGAGTCTTCATAAGTGTATTTCCAGTAATCCTTCTTGTTGACACCCTTGGCGTAAGCTTTAGCAAATTCAGATTCCGATTCCAAAGCAGTAACAGCAATGGAGAATTGGGCCATTGGGTGCAAGTGAGCTGGAGATCTGTCAATCAAGTCTTCAACGTGTTTTGGCAAGTCTGATCTAGCAGCCAACTCTTCTGAAAAAGCCTTGGTTTGGGCCTCAGTTGGAACTTCACCAGTCAACAACAACCAAAACAAAGCTTCTGGCAAAGGCTCACTTCCACCTGGAGCCTTTGGCAATTCCTTTTGAATGTCTGGGATAGTTCTACCTCTAAAACGGATACCTTCAATTGGGTCCAAAACCGAACCTTCCCAAACCAAACCCTTGATACCTCTCATACCACCATAGGCTTGTTCCAAAAGAACTTCACCAATAACGGTTTTACCGTATTCCTTCTTCAATTGTTTAACTTCTTCAGCCTTTTCGGGAATCAACTCATCCAATCTTTGCTTCAAAGTAGGTTCAGCAGATGCATAACTTCTAACTGATTGTCTGACGGCAGTTTGAGCCAATTTTGATGAACGTTGGAAAGTTCTTAATGAGGAAGACATTGTCAATGAATAGATTGTTATATAGAGTAAGAAATGTTTGAAAAAGAAAAAAACAACAACAACAAAGTAAACCTTGAATATAAGAAAAGAAGTAGAAATTGGGAAAAAATATATGAAATTTTTTTATTTTGGGAAATTAAAGAGAATTTGGCAATGTATTTAAATTGAATCAAGAAGAAGAAGAAGAAGAAGAAAAGTTTTTGAACAAAGAGAGACAAAAGACAAAAGACAAAAGACAAAAGAAATATTAAATGTCGCAAGTTGAAATGGAAAATGTGTGTCTGCGTGTGCTTTTTTTATATTTTTATTTGTGTCTGCATTCAGCAGAGACACACAGACACAGATAGAGAGACATTTTGTCCTTAATTTGTGTGTGTGTGTATCCTTCGGTATTAATAACCGCACACTATGCACCCTGTTGCAGAGATATATAATGCCGAAATCAATTTGTTTTTTATTTTTTTTTGTTTTTATTCAAATTTGAATTGAACCGAGGAAACTACTACAGTAGTCACAAACAGAAAAATCACATCCACCCACAACACACACACTCAGATTAGGATTCTGTCTTAGGAGAACTATTCCTACTTCTGCCGGTCTTGATGTGTTAGTACACTAGCGTATCTAAGCTTGACTCTTTTATGCTAAAGCAAAGCCCTAATTCCCAATCTTTCATCATTATCTGTTGTACTATCATTAACCAATAAAATTACGTTGTTAACTCTCAGTGTTACACAAAGTTGCTTCAATTTTATTTTCAAGACCAGTACACACGACCCCTTCTTTTAACAGAATTCCAATTTCATCAATTCTGATCTACGAAATCACCTGCTGCTAATAAGATTCCCCTCCCCCCCGGATAGATTGATCTTCGTGTAATTTGGTGTCACTGTTTTTACCCTTGAATCGTTGTCTCTATTAAAAACAACACCACTTTCTCTATACGTTACGTGTAAGTACCCATAAGTCCGTTTGTATTATTGTGGTTGAAAAATCAAGAGTCGTGAAATTCTTAAACCATGGATCATGCTTTTTATTTTTTTTATTTTTTTTTTTTTTTTTAATTTTTTCTTTGACTTTTTTTTTTATTTGACGACATTTCTCAAAGCTTAAATTTTCATTTTCCACCAAAAAGTGTGTAATATGAGGCTTTTCGAAAGAGTGTAGGAGAAACATTGTATCAAGAGTGTAACTACCGTGGCCGTGTTGCTTGGATATTGCTTGAGAAAAGAATTGATTTGTTATGTTTAGGAGCTGTTGCAGTTTGTATGTTTTCAAGTCGAAATGTAGTTGGACCAATCGGAGTGCGCGAAATAAAATGTCGCAGTACTTGTTTCTTTTTAGTTTTTTATGTATATATATTTTCCCCGGATTTTCGACATTTCTTGTGAAAGAAGGAGACAAAATTTGTAACTTCTTATTTACGTCATTGACGACATAGTTTGATGAGAGAAAATTGTGTCCGACACTACTCTCCCAATAACCGGCAAATGAAAACAAAAAAATAAAACAAAAAAAAAGTATTGACTACAAAAGTGATGATCATCTACAACGGCGCAAGCATTGGTAGTGGGTGATACAATTTGGGGGAAGGAGGTTCTCGGAGTTTTGGAATAAGGATACTTCTGTACTTCAAATAGCCCTTGTTACACCGGCACCTTCACTTTTGTCTAAACATATGGTATTTTGAAACCAACCCGCATGGTAAGTGCTAAAACTTTTGACTAAATTGATAAACTTTCCCATCCTTGTGTCTCTCATATATCGGTACATGTGTGACAGCCAGGGATCTACCAAGTACCAGCTACGAACTCTCTTATAGCAATCTGGAAGCAAATGTCTATAATAAATGACATGCTGGAAGCAAATAATACTTTGTCACCAACAAATAACCTTATTTTGTTAACAACTTCTTGACTGTCGAGTATCTTGTAAAGTCTCTTTGTTTGCCGATTACGTCCGATGCAAAATTTTTTATTTATTATACTGTAGGCATAAGTTACACAAACCTATTGAAAATCTCGGAGTTTTTTTTTCTTTCTCGTCTTTTCATTTTTGTGTGTGTGGGGGTGGGGCAAAATAACGGAAACTACAATAATCATAAAGCACACCATCACCCTCTTCCACCCACTCATCAACGTCTACTGTTAAACTATGACTGTGACTATTTCATGCACCTCCTCACTCATTCGAACGTAAAACAAGCATCAAATTAACTTCAATATTTGTACTCCATTGACACCAACTCGTTTGTTTCCTGCCGTTAAATCAATTTCCATGTCCAGTCAAGATTTGCACATTGCCATGAAACTTACTCGCGACAACAAGAGTATAGACCTCTATAGCGCTCTATAATAATACCAGTATCATTATTGTCAATCATTTCAAAGCTAACTCGAATGATCTATGAGTCGTGCATAATGGCCAAACATTTTCTCGATGCTTTTCGCTCTTTCGCACAAGTCTATTTTCTGTGAAAATTCTTCACCAACACATCAAACATCCTTTCTTCTCTCCAGGAGCAGCAGCAACAACACTCATCTCAGCAAAACAACCTTCTACAACGTGTATATTTGAAATATACGTCATATCAAACTACCATCGCAACCCCACTATCCTTATCTTTCTCTCCCTCTCTCTCCTCCCCTCCTCCATTCTCATCTCTTTTGGGACTTTATCTCCGGTTGCATGCCTTTATTTCTCAGGTGTACTCGGTAAACGAATCCCATAAATTGAAACTTTAAGAGAGGCATTTTAACAGAGAGATCAATGTATACGCAATTTTATTTTGTCCAAATGGATTGATCTTTTTGAAGGTGTCTTACATAAACACTACTTTGGCATACTTTATCGCCCTTCCTCCCCCCACCTCTTAGCAACATTACATGCACTCACAGCACATGTTGGCCTAGAAGCTCTCTCAATTGGGGACCAACCATTTTCCGCTTATTCATCAAATCATCAGCTTCACCTCTTCCCATGATACATTTTGTTCTAAATTCACATGTATTGCATTTGCTTAAAGAGTCTGCAAACTTGGGTAAAGTTCTTCCCAACCAGAAATCACACGCATCTCTTAAAGCTTGGTCCAACTGTTTTTGCAGGTGCTTGTAATGACGGATCTCAAATACTTCATGACTGATGGCATTATGGTATTCCACAGTTGTTGAGTCATCGACAAAGTTTTGGAACAAGCTGAATAGTTGTGCTGATCTTGCAATCACGTATCTTAACGTCGGTGGAGTTTTCCATGTTTTCAAAAGTGGCTTCATGTAATGAGAGTATGGGAATGAGTGTTGCAATACGGCCAGTGTGATATTTCCACTCGCTGTAGAAGTAACGTCGATCCTGTCTAGTTCTTTCAAATATGATTCATTTGATGGTGTGTTGGATGAAAATTCTTGGGCATTTTGAAACAACAAATCAAATTGGAACTCAATTTGTGGATTCTGTTTCACAGTTGCATCATCATCCATTGACTTTGGATACCCCACAATTTCCAACTCAGCAAGTGACCGATTCAATTTGTTCAACTTGATATCCTCATCATACGGCGCAAAGTCAATTGGTTCACCATTACTCAATTTGACAAAATCGGTGTAAAATAAATTAGGATTCAATCTCAACATTTGCAACACCAATATTGGACTCAATGGTTTGTCCACATCACAAGAACGTGTTGCTGCGTTTTTTATCATACCACGATACGTAAACTCGGAATCGTGTGTTAGTATTTCAAAAAACTTGCGATAAAACATTGTTTGGTCTTTGGCACCATCAAGTACTGATTGTTGGTAAGGTAAAGTGTTACCGCTCCGGGTTTTAACATCCGACACTACAAGTGACAATTTGTCAGTGCTATACTCGGAAAGAATCTTCTGAGTTTCTGGTATGAAACTTGTCAAATCAATAATTGGTTTCCCCAAGTGATCCTTTTCGTATTCAAAATGCAACATGTTTCGTAACTCTGTGAAAAATGAAAAGTCAGTGGGGTCCTTGTGGTTGCCAAATTTGAACAAATCAACAATCGACGAAATGGGGACGGAATTTTCCAATGCCTCAACACCATCTTTCGGCTCGATAATCTTGGATCTATTCATGTCGATAAATGAATGGATTGGAATTTCTCTAGCTTCTGAGTTTGCCAAGATTGCAAATAATCGGGCGACTACGTTGTGAGCCCAATTATTAGCTACCTTGTCCTCCTCACTTATTGTCAACATCTCATCCACCAAAAGAGACACTCGTTTTATTTCTTCAACTGTGGCGTCGTTCTGAACAAAAACATCTTGGTCTCCTGCCACATTCGTCGCTACCACAAGTCTCGTTTTCAACTCCCTTTGCAAAGATTGAGCCTTCTCTGCTACAAAATCCAACATGTCGGTAATATCAATTCGAGGGTGGGTTTCTTCTTCCAATATGGCGTGGTGTCTAGTCCCTTGTTCCATTGCTTTTGTGGCTGGAGTGCGCAATGACCCAGACCAAACTCTATAATACTCACGCAACACACACCAGTTTTTGATCAATAGTTTCGTAGTAGATAATCTTTGTGAACCCTTTTTCGTTGGCAAAGAGTCTCCATTGTGTGTTGCATGAAAATCAAGGGGTGTTTCATTTGGCAATGGACTTACTATTGGCAAGTTTTCCGAATAGGGCAAATTCCAATTGTCATAAAGATTACGCAAACTCTCGTTTTTTGCAAATATTTCTTGATCCTCTGAGGTTGTTTGAGAAGGCGATGTTAGAGAAGACGAACGGGACGGTACTGGTGATGGTTTTGCTCCACTTTTCGTGGACTTTGTCAGTTTAGTTGTGGCTTTCTTTACTTTTTTCGTCTTGGATTTTGTTATTGTTGTTGTCAGGGTATCTGCTTGTTGAACCTGTTTAATTATGGCTTGTGCATAAGCCTCCTCTTCTTTAGCATTTAAGTTGGCTTCAAAGTCACGGATTTGTGAATGAGTGAACTTTGAATGTTTCTCAATCCGGAATAAATCATTGTCATATCCACGTTTAGGCAATACTCGTGCATCATCTTTGCTTGTTTCGTCGAGAAGCAACGGTTTGTCTAAAGTTGTGTCTTTCAAAGTAAGTTTCTCCAAAGCATCATCAATCTCCACGTGCATCTTTGCAGTCATGCTTGTGGGAGAATCGGTTACGTGTTGTTGCGATTGACGACATACGCGTATGTTTGAGTGAATAAATCGAAAGGGCGACAATCTATTGAAGTTTTTGTCGATGAGTTGTCGCTGTAATTGCCTGCGAAGCATGGATGTAGGTTAAGGGAGGCACAGTTGTAGTTGCAAAATGCAGACAGAATTGGGGTTGGAGTAGAGCGAAGAATCAATTTGCCGCCAAAAATGAGTCTGATCAGGATCTCTAAAATTGCAAAAACTTGGCCGAAAATGTCGTCGCTATATATCCCCTCTGAAGAGCATCTAGACACCTGTATACAACTGGAATCCCAACTTTTGTTGCTGCTACCTTTCTGTAATGAAACGGGTATGAGAAGTGTTTTGTAGATTAGCACATGTACTGGTTCATGCTATATTCGCGATGAATTGTATTTTTTTTATTTTTTCATTTTCTTTCTATTGCGCGGCAAAATTGCCCGATTTGGACATGACAATGGATGGGAAATGAAGCTATCATGAAAGTGTTTATGAAACTGAAAGAATTTTGGATGAAGAAGGTCGCTACGCATCTATGTTTGACGAGTATTGTAGTTGTCCTCTTTCAGAGTTGAGTCCAAGGTGAAACTTTTGTCAGAAAGGTTTGTTTCTTTTCTCTACCATTAGATATTTGAATCTGTTTGCGGCTTCGATGAAACCCTTGTGCTTAGTAACTCAGGTTGAAGGGATTCTTTTGCAGGGTTGTTCTAGTATTTAGAACTCACAACTGCAACGTACATGACAGTACCTACATTGGATATATTACCAAGCTATGGTATGCAGCACGAAACGTTGTCAATTTGTTTTCTTATGTCCTACGGATTTCAAAAACCGGAATTCCATCACCTTGCTCTCTGCAAAGTTCAGGAATCTAGTAGAAAGCACTTGCAATGTGTGGAGCTAATCTGGCCCTTAATTTAACCCAATTAGGAATACTTATGGAGTATTAAAGATGGTAGGCTGCGAAATGGTATAGAAATTGTATGCGCGTCAGGTTTTCCTAATTGGGTTAAATTAATTTCTTGCACTTTTAGTCCACCACAACAAAAGATAATCTAAAAGCCTGTTAAATTTGAAATCTTTAACCGTGTTACATTTTGTGAGTGTAGTGCAGATCTGAAGAACAAGGCAATGGATGATTAAAATGATCAGCTAGTGACTTTTGGCTCATGCGTACTAATTTGCAAAGATTACAGTTTTGGTATAATGGCTTTCTAGTTCTGCAACAACTCTTACATGAGCAGTTGAAATTAACCGCATTGAGACAGATTTATCGTTGACAAAATATGCTTTTTCATCTTTAAACCATATTTTTTTTTTTTTTTAAACTTTTCAATGATTTAAAATTTAACACGGTCAAGTTAGATGATGTATTGGAGTGCCGTTTTGTTTACACAAGCTACGTATAGCACCACGCCTACTAAATAAAACCACCTGATTCAAAGAAAACTGGGTATTTGAGCTATTATTGAAATAAGAGCCACTTCAAGCTGATGGGTAGCTGCAGCTGCATGTAAACGAACAACTTTCATGTGAAAATAATTTCATTCATGGGCCAGGTTCAGCAGCCAGTGACAAGATAATAATTTATTGCTCCTGACAACTATTACAATGCGTTCCTGTCTGTGAGTGTTTAGTCTGTGCTTGTTTAACCCCCTTTCAATTAAGAACTGATTTGTAGTGAAGGACAATAAAATAAGTTTCAAAAGAAAAAGAAAAAAAAAAAAAAAAAGAGGACAAAGGATATTCTGCAAAAAAAATGTTTTATGTCACAAACTTTGACTTCCGCAACATCCTACCAAAAAAACATGCAACACACACAGTGTAAGATTCATGCATGCAAGATGCATTTTAAGCGTATTTGTCATGCATGACTCGATGCTCATGTACAAATTACTTGGTTTTCGAGTGGAGCCTTGTAAAGAATCGTCAATTGAAAAGACCTGAACTCGGGGTTTGTCCAAACCAAGTTGGGTGTGATAGGACAACGGTAATAAAATATAGTTGGAAATTAGTTCGACACTATATTCAGCTTTGTGTATGATTAGGTAATTACTCACGTATGAGTGGTTTTCTGTATGTTTTCTTTGCTCAACAAAAAAAAACAAAAACCCTTTTCAATTTCCCCCACTTTGCCTATTCTAATTTTTGTTTCATCTTCGATTTGTTCCTTTTCATTTCCATTTCTTCAACCAGACTCCAAAGCGGTATATTCGTTCATCAGAATCATTATCTACAGCCACGAGAGCATCACTAGATTCAACACAGAACGAGAAAAAAAAAGCCACTTTTCACTTTTCAGATAATTCTGGCGCTTAAATTTGGGAATTATTTCTCTTTTTTTTTTTTTTTTTTCTTTTCTCCAGGAACAAAAATCCACTCCCCTACATATAATAACGCGTCCCAATTTTTTTTTTTTCCATAATTCATAGCCACCGACTTATCTTCAGGAGCAAATATAGCCACTGCTGCTACAAGGACTAGCGAAGAGAATCGCCACCCTGTCACACTGTCAACGCAAGAAAAGAGAAATCATCAACTACGATTCAGATTTTTTTTATTTTTTTTGTTTTGTTGCCTGAGCCTTACATCATTGAAGATAGCTTTCCGAAATAGTTGAAACCACCTTGTATCATCACATACCTTCACACTACTGCATTGAAGCATCGACAAGACTTTTCCCACTCCAATATTTTTACCATAGACCTTTTTTACTGCATCATAACGTTTTAAACAAAGCATTCCGATGAAAAACTTAAACTTGCATTTGAAATTGAACAAGATGGATTTCCATCAATCTTCATCGATATCTACTCCATCAGGATTGAACTCACAACCATACACACCAATAGACCAGACTTTGAAAACGCCAATACAAGCACCTGGCGAGTATCCATTCAATCCACCACCTTTACATCATCAAAATTCATACAATAGTCAACACAATCCACAGCCACAATCACATCCACAACCACAACCACAACCACAACAGCAAAGTCAAGCTTCTTTCTACCAAAACTCTCAATGTGCTGAATCTGATGATATATTGACTGATATCGACGAGCCAGAGACATTGGGCAACAATAACGGTACAACGAATAATACCAATACATCCAGCTACAGCAATGCATCGCTTAAAAGACCACAATTCCCAATGTCAAATGGAATGAAAAACACGTCAATATCAAATTTGTCTTTGAATGAAATGAACTTGATGCATTACAACGCGCAGCAACTGCTGCAACAAGCCCAGGCTCAGGGCCAGGGCCAGGGCCAATCACAAAACCAGCCAAGTAACGCGTCAATTAGATCGCGTTCGTCACTGTTGAATCTTCGCAAACAGTCATTAACCAGAAACAACTCCAACAATTGGCTTCATGTGGGTAATATACACAGTCTTCGTCCAAGGAATAGCAATGCTAGTACCGATTCATTGGATTGTGTGCCTATACAAGCCAATATATTCAATTATGGAGGAGGAGAAGGCAGCAGCACAAATAGTACACCACCACACTCTGCTGGTATTCAACCACATCCTCAATCAAACTATTTCCCTCAGCAGCCATTATCTGCCGGTGGCAATATTCAACCACAAACTGCATACTACCCCCCACCGCCATCATCTGCACATGCTCAACAAGATTATCCACATATGACCCCCACTTCAGCACCATTCAATCTTCCACCAGTTCCACCACCGCCGCCATTTTTGCAAAGAAGCAGATCGAGCACTTCTGGGAGCACGTATGGTGGCGCTGGAGGTGGCGGTGGCCCTCCCTCAGTGCCATACCACTTAAACACTGAATCGGCCAATGCGCAAGCTCTCAACAGCTTGAATGGAAGATCAAGCTTCAATGCCAATGCAAATCCAGCTGGGTTTACTTTGGATTCACCATTTGAACCAAACAGCCATCCATTTTCACAACCGCTGCCGCAGCAATGGTCATCTCAACCTTGTTCACAACAGTATTCAATGCTGCAGCAACAACACCAACACCAACAACAGCAGCAGTATCAGCAGTATCAGCAACAAAGATCACTGCTGTTTCTGCTGCAACTGCTGCAACTGCTGATGTTAGATGATACAGCTACGGACGAGGCTAGGTTCAATAGCAACTTCAATACCAACTATGTTTCGTTGAGTGAAAAGAAACGAGATTCATTAAAGTTGAAAAGAGGCATGCATTGAAATCGAAGAGGCTAAACCTTTGTTTATAGGTGAATGTTTTTTTTTTAAAAAAAAAGAGACCCATCTATATGAATAGTTGGTAGAAACTTATATAGATCTCGTACTTTTCAACCACTCTTATTACTATATCTCGGCTGGCTGATGTGTTGTGATCGTAGGGTCCGTCATATCAACATCTGCCAGATCACCTTCATCATCTTCGGCAACTTCAGCAACTTCGACATCATCACTAACTAGCACCTCAGGATACTTGATTTTGTAAGGTAGATACTTTTCCAAATCCGCCTCTTTTTTAACCAACTCATTGACGTCATCGTCAGCTGAACCCACAGCACCTATTCCACCAGCGTTACTTACGCCATCCTCCCGTCTGTGATTGTCTCCCTTAGTAATTGGCTTGACCATAAAATTGTTCCATTCATTATTTCGTATACGTTTGATTTTCGACTGCAAATCCAAATCCAAATCCAAATCATTGTCATTAGTCGCATCTAGCGTTTGGTCAGTTGAGCCGCGTCTCACTTCTGCTTGATTTCGAAGTAAATCCTCCTCAAACTCATTAGCTATGAACTCAGTAGCATAAAGATATTTGAACTTGTGGCCGAGTTTCAACTCTTTTTCAAATAGGTGATTCAACCACTTTAATCTATGAGCATTCAGTAAGGAAGATTTGGCAATATCGCCATCACCAACTTCTTCATCGTCACCTTTGTTGTTACGTTGTTTTTTTGAACTAGAGAGGTTATTAGCCAGCACAAATTGCTGGTAAATGCTCTGTTGTTGATTATCCAGTTGTTGTGCAACGTTAGCTACCTTCTCCTCTTCAATATCCTTTTGCTTCTTCCTCCTAGCTATATTCCTAATCTGATCTCCATAGTAGCTCATGACCCAATTATGAAACAGGTTCACTGATTTGGTGTTGTACTCCAGTTCATCAAAATAAGCATCATGGATCTTATTACTTTGAGTAGCCTTTACCAATCCCAAGTCAAGCATAGCTTGCATGACATCCTGGACTTCTGGTGTATTTGTTCTTGTCCTTATTGAACTGCACGCAATTGACTCTGATGTAAGCTTGTTTAAGTAGTCAATATATAATGATGTGAGAATGTTTAGTGTTGACGGTTTACATTTGTCAAATCCTTGAGTTTTGAGTATTTGGGCTATTGAAATTCGTAGTAGTGAGAAGTAGAATGAGTCTTCCATGATGTGAGGGAGCTTACGAGTGTGATGCTTTGACTTCGATGTAGTGAATAGGGTGGCCTGTTTCCACAGTGTTTACTGCTGCTGACGGCCGATATTTTTATTTTTCTTTTTTTCCTTCAGTCTACGACAACAGATTCGACAGATGGCAGATACAGGATTCAAGATACACCTTTACATAGCTATCACTCACATCTCGTTAATTAATCTACCTAAGAAAACTAAACATACGGCACTTACGTTTATCCCCTACAACCCTTGTTGTACTCTCTCAGCCAACTTCTTACCAGCAAAACTCAAAGCATTAAACAATCCCTTCTCGCTCAAGTCAATGTTCTTCAAATCGACACCGGCAGCACCCGAACTCACCGGCGCATTGGTAACTCTAGACACAATAGTGGCTGGGTCATACTCCAAAATAATCCCACCATCATCAATAGTCTCATCAATGGCCAACACTACCAAATCGTAATTCTCGACAATTGTAGCTTTATCAACGGTGTTATTCAACAAAATGGTTATGGATTCAACTAGATTGGTCAATGTTGAGTACATGAGACATTCATTTTCATTTATTGGAGCCACGAGTATGATTGATGTATCGTTGATTTGTTTGTATACAATCAAATTGTTGTCATACAAGAGAATGTCTTGATGGACCTTGTTGATTTTGGAAAATAACGATTTCTCAAACTTCAATTGACTGGTGGATTTGGCTGAGGTGGAAGGCTTGGCTGTTTTGAGATTACTACTGTTGTTGTTGTTGTTGTTGTTGTTGTGAATATCATTGTCTGATGTTGGAGGAGTATAGTATTTAGCATATAATCTGTTACCTTCGTTGTCTAGTATTAGCAATGCTGACACTGTGTACAATGATACGTTCAATGACATCTGGAGAGGAGCGGAAGTAATATTGAATAGGTATTCTGGCTGGCCCCTTGATGTGCTGGTACTGACGAAAAGAAATTTGTTCAACGCATTTTGGCACCACGCTGTACAAAGTTAAATTTTTCTGTCAATATACAGGACCACTGAATACAACTATCACCATGCGAACAACCACCCACCCAACCAACCAACCAGCCCCTGCTCGAGCCAACTAATAAACCAACTTTCTCTACAAAACGCCTTTCTTCTTTTTGTTCTTTCCCATTGCTTTTTAAAAACTTTATTCAAAATCATATTACTACTATACAAAACAAAGCAAAGCAAAACAAAATAAATTGAAACTCAAAAGGAAGGACGGAATGGGAGGACTTCCAGCCTCCATCAGGCCATTCCCCATCACTCAGCTAACCATTTCAACAACGAACTGGTGAATCTTCTTATGCATTGGGTTGTTTGCATAAAATTCATTATTCTCATACTCCAATTCTAGACTCTTCCACCCAAACACAAAGTTAATAATAAGGGCAATGATTAACCCAAAGGCAATAATCAATGGTCCAATTGAATTATCCAAATGCTTGTCACTTCTTTCCAAAATGATATTTCTTCTGACTGTGAAAATGTAGTATCCCCAAAGACAACTAAACAATGTCAATCCAAAGTAAAAGTACGCCAAATAGGTACTCAATTCATGGAAATTGGATCTAATTGTAGACGAGTAAATGATAAATGTAACCGACATCAACAATGTAGTTACGTGTAACCAACGATTGAAAGTACGTTCGTTGGCCAACCACACTTTGGGTTCAATTTTGATGGGACCCATATTTTTAATCCATTGATCTGGCTTGATGACTCCCGCTGGTAACACAACTTCTTCGTCCTCTGAATCGACATCAATCAATTTAGAAAATTGTTGGGGGAACTTGATCAATTTCGTGAGACGACTGGCTCTGGAAGCTGCACTGGTATCGTCTTCATCTTCTTCATCATCAAAGTCAGATGATTGATCGTCAGTAGTGAAATTTGCAGAACTGGGCTGTTGTTGTTGTTGTTCTTGTTGTTGAAGTCTCTGTGGTTTTCCAGTTGGCGAAAGATTGCCCTCATCTTCCTCATCTTCCTCATCAACTGGGGTAATCTTGGTATCATGACCTTCCGATGTTGCTCCAGTCACAGTCACTCCCTTGTGCTCGCCTTGTTTAGAACCACCATCTTCGGTGTATAACAAACTTCCTGAAAAAGATGCCGATCTGGGTTGGAAGTTGGAGGCATTGTTTTTCAAAAGCATTGACTTGAACTTGGACAAATTATCATCGTTGCTCAAGTGAGCAATTCCATTGTCATTGTTGCCCTTTGCTGCTGCTGCTGCTGCTGCTGCTGAAGAGGTTGTTCCACTGCTATCATTACGATGTTGTGGAAGAATCTTGGGTAAATCGTCATTGATATCTCCTTCCAACTCATTAAACCACATAGGAATGTTATCCAATTTATCGTCTTCCAAATACAATGAAGCAACACCATGAATAAATTTGGAGAAATTGGGAATCTCCTTAACCAAATAACTACTATTGATCAATTCGTTGATCCATTGTAATTTTTTGAAATTCTTGACTGATGACTTCTTAATTTTGATCTCCATGGTTGAAAATGGAAACTTGTTGAATTCACCTTTACGTAAAAATTGTTGGTTGTGTTTCGGATTATCCAAATCTAACCTATGCCATTGGTGAGGATCTCTAATGGGCAAGATCGGATCAAAAGAATCCTCTCTAATAAAAGTCAAGTTGGAGTCAATAATGATTCTAATCTTGTCATCCCCGGGAATTTGGAAAGCAGTTCTCTTGTAAGTAGTTCTTAAAATTGGTTGCAAGTTGTTCTCCTCAATAAATTTCAATAGTCTCTTTACTGTAGCTTCATCATTAATCTTGACGAATTTCTTGGGAACTTCATGACTAAGAACAAATTGATTAATGTACTTTTGTCTCAATTCAATCTTGTCATCAACATGGAAATTGGAATTAACATCAAACTCCTTTCTCTCCATTGTGATTTTCGGTTTGTCTGACAATTTACCGATCCATCTAATTCTCAAAGTTGAGGAGTTGTTGAGCTTGGTCAACTTGTGATTGTAAAGATCAAAATGCTCATTGTCAAAGTACAAACAGTTGATAGTTTGATCAGTTTGGGTGATTTTGTTGTCCTTGCCGTGTACTCCATCAGCATCGTCATCATCGTCGTCATCGTCATCGTCTTCATCATCATCATCATCCTTCTTGGAATTGTAAATCAATACTGGCAAATGTCTCAAGATAGTTGTCTTGACTTCCATTAAATTGTCAGGATGAACCCAAAATTTAAAAGATTGAAACTCTCCACTCAATGCCCCATCATTAAATGATGACAATTTCGACAAGGATTGATCAACTTCGTAATTTTCTCTCAAGAATTGAAACAATGTACCAATTTTGTATAACAATGGAGAGTAATCTTCTGAATGAAAGGGCAATTTCTTCAAACGAACATTTAACAAAGGTTTAACTGAATAATTAGCATGTAAACGATCATGTTTCTTGACAATTTTGATAAATCCAGTATAGTTCAAACGTTGGAAATGTTCCAAGTTCTGGGCTTCATTCAACAAATGATCCAATTTTTTAGAAAAGGCGTCAACATCAAAAGTATCTGCAACCTCAGTTTGCTCTTGCAAGATATTCAATTCATCGTTCAATTCATCAAACTTGTTGTGTTGAAAAGTGAACACCTTTTCCAAGTTTTCATCCAACGCACTAACAAAGTTTTGTTCATCTTTATCGGTCCAATTGTTTTTCAAAATGACACCTTCTTTAAGCAATTTCTTCAAGTGGTTGTACTTGATGTAAAAATCTTTCCATGGTGCATATGTTTCCGTTTCCAACTTGGTGCCAAATAGCATTCTGGGTTCGGTGGTTGATGTTGTTGCTGCTGCTGTTGCTGCTGCTGTTGCTGCTGCTGCTGAAGAAGAAGAAGGCTCTTTCGATTTGGGTTGGGATTGGTTTTGACTAGATGCCATAATAGAAAGTAGCCTTTTATTCCGCTTTGAATGGGAGTACTAGAGAAGGGGGGGTAGATTGGTTATTCTAAAATAAATTTGGAAGGAAAAAGCCTTGTCGATCAACAAAATGAGCTTTTGAAAAGTAAATTGAGTCAAAGAGGCAGCAATAGTAGTGAAAAACTCTGTCTGTGTTGAAAATAGAAGATCCCTTCTGCGTAATGTAAAGCTTAAACGGAGTGTATAAGCTACTTTTTGGATTTGAATTGAATTGAAAGTAATTTAACAAGTTTAGGTTGGAGCTGTCTTTGTCTCTTTGTATTTTTTTTGTTTTCAACTATGTTTTTTTTTCCTCTCCTTCTTTTGTGCAATGTTTGTTTATTTTTATAGATATATTAGCTTGCGTTTACCATGACTTCCACAGACAAATACAAGCTTTTCCCCTGTATTGCTTCCTCGGCTATTCTCCTTAAAGCTACTCTCTCAAAGCACCAACTGGCTGTGTTGAGAACAGCTGTGTTTAGAATACGCAAATATGTTCATATGCTGAACAATTAACTGCATATGGAGTTCCAAGTCTATAATTAAAAAAAAAGCCGCTCTTAATTTGAATGCGTCGGAAAAGTCTCTTGTATTTTGGCGAGAACGTGGACCACCTTGTTAATTAATCAACAACTAATAAATTCATACCATCCAACAAACAACAACAATAACAACAACAACAACAACAACAATAGGAGGCGCCTATTTAGCTGTAATAAACACAATTATTGTATTTAATTTCGATTTGCTTTTGTAATACCGGTAATTGTTAACTATTATTAGCAATTATTAGGCAGTTTGGAGTGCAAAGGACACCGAAAGGTTTAGATAATATTTCAAATCAGTTTCCTCGATGCAACATAGTTTTCAAATGCAATATACGTAGGTTGTAGCTTTAACCTTTAAACTCTTTTACATAGATAATAATAGTTAACTTCCTCACAAACTTTTGTTGCATCGTTCTAGATATTGCACAATTGCACAAAAACCAACCTTTGTGTAGCTGAATAATTAAACCCACTCAACATGGCCATGAAACACCCAGGCGTTCGATGCAAGTGCTGTTTTGCATCCATATAACGTATGTGCTACTTGTGACCTCCAAAATACACCCTTCAGTCTGCTGACAAACCAATCTCACCACATGTTGGACTGGCTTTCTTGGTGTAGTTGAACGATCACGTCTTGTAAAGACAAACTAACATTGTAGAAAACAGAAAAGACAAAGGGTAGGCTATTGTTACCAAAGGCTTTCTCTAGTCTTTTCGTCTTTGTAAGTTCTTGTCTGTCTAGTTCCATACCACACCCTTACACCTCCGCCCTCCACGCACACACACACACACACGCACACACACACACGCACACACACACACACATTTTATCACTGTCCCTTAGAAGCATCAAGGAATCCAGATTCTTCTGTTAAGTTTTCTGTAACAAAGTCTCAACTGTTGCAATGCAGAACGGAACTTCTTCATTGAGCTCTCGTTCTATGAACAACACTACTTTAGAAAAGTAGTGTGGTCAAATTACCGCTGTCCCCAGACAGTCTTTTGCAACACAACACAACACAACACAACTAAGACAGAGAAAAAGGTCGTGTACATGTGTAGCAAAAGAATATTCTTTAATCTATTTTGTGTAATATGCAAATAACAATTTTGTGCAATTATTAATTGTAATAATAATTATCATACCACGTGGGATATACGTTATATCGTATTGCAAAATCAACAACTGAATTGATAAGGAGCAGGAGGATTTATCTGCCCCTAGGAAAAAAAAATGTTTTCTCCAGTATCGCTACTCGTATTTTCCACTCCCATTCCACCAAGAGGGATTGAATCAAAATCTCACCACTATTGGTGAGATGGAGCTTAGCAGGGGATGAAATTGAGGCTCTTGCAACACATTCAAATACATCATCGGACTGGTTGGTAGTAGAAGTGTTGTCAACAACGGAAAATTGATGCCGTGTTTCGGTTTGGGCATACGGGGTGCAACAGCATGCCTGTCAAGTGCTAATATCACCCCGAATATCCGCTTCGAAGAGACGTTCAGTCAAATTGTTGTTTGCAACCGCTGTTGTTTTAGGCAATTGAGACATTTTGGATGTATAGCTATCTATTGACTTTGAAAGAGTCCTCGGCTCGGGATCATGATGATTGAGTCCTAGGTTTCAGTGCCACTTGCCTGAATGTCCGTGGTCATACGTTCTAGCCAGGCTAGCCTGTGATCAACGTTTGTTTCACTAAGGGTTCGGCAGCTCCAATTTTTCCCTGTGATCATCATCCAATCAAGAGTTCAATCAATTGGCGTTGTTTGCTCTAACATTTATTTCAGTGGCATCATTAGCCCTAGCATCCAATCTATTAACGTCGTCAGTTCTGGCTTCCACTATATTAGCTTCAGCGGCGTCTTTATCCTCTTGTTGCCGCGCCTGTTCAATTTGTTCGGCTACCCCCCCCCCCTTCAGCTTGCTCAAATAGTTCTTATGTTGTTTCACCCGGAACAATCATTTCTCCATCCGAGGTCAAGAAGAATATTTACCTGTTGAAATAAAGTAAAGAAGTTAATCGTTATATCCTCGTAAATGTATCTCTCTATTACACTTGAGATGAACAAAATAGCTGTAGTTCTTGAACGGAAAATTGCTGCAAATTTCAAGAAACAAATATTTGCACTTTTTTGCACATCAAATAACGCAGCACATGAAAGCAGCGACTTTACTCTTCTGAGAGTCAGTATACTTGAAGCATGGCTTGGGTCAGGTGACAAGCTTCTTGAATTACGACCCTTCTAATAGCTGTGTTTACCCCTCCCTCCCTCCACCCATTCAATTCTTTATCATCTCTAGCGCGGCTTCCCAGCTTATGCTTCAGATGCGAACAACAAAAAAAACAAATGGCCCAGAACATTTTTGCAGAAGCTAAAGCAATTGAACACCAATCACCGCTACTACAGCCGAGATGCTAGGTAACCCTGTATTTCATTATGAACGAATATACATACAAGACGAGGACCTATCGTACAATTTCACCAATTGCAGAAATCTAGAAAAGGAAGGATCTTCAGATGGCATCGTTGGTTCTGGAAAACGATATTGGCATTCTATCAACAAGATGTTTCGTCAAATTACATCCTTCATTCTAGCTTATTTCATACATCCCCTTTTCCGTATAGAAGAATCACAGGAAGCAGAGAGCGAAAGAGCCTTTGTGGATGAAAAAGAGCAGCTGGATGTTGACAATGATTCGGATATTGAAATACTTGGAGAAAAGATTGCGTCGCACCCCATCACGAATGATTATCATCTCATCAACCAGCAACGACCATACCAAAACAACAGCATTTTAGAAAACAGTTTTGGTGATCATGTTGGTAACAGTACCAAGACTTCATCACCTCATAACAGCAGCAGCAGCATCAGCAACAAGAACAAGAACAATCACAAGAACAAGAACAAGAACAATTACTACGATGCCAGCCAGGCTTTAAGAAATCTTGCACTAAAAGGATTAAAGGCTGGAAGAGAGCAGAATAAACTGCAGAATGAGCCACCACCATACGGAACAGACTTGTCAATATCGCAAACACATTTCTCCAATCGCCAACAATGGCAGTTAACCTCAACACCGCGAAAGACCCAACCCGCTTCCACTGTTATACAACGAAACTCCTCTCATCGCCAATTGTTCAACATCGACCCACCCAAAACTGAATACCAGCAATCGATTTTGAACTTCTACATCCCACCAAAACCCGTGTCAATCACCTCCTACTCATTAGTAGATGACCTAATTGCAAATTTCAAAAACACCGATCGCATTTCCGAAACTTACAAAATAGCCCAATCCAAAACCCTAGACGTAATAACAGCCAAACGATTAGCATCTAAGGTCAAAAAAATTGAGCCCTTGACCGATTCCCAATTGACCAAGGTGAACCAAGCATGGCAATCCGGTTCTCGATCAATTTGCATCACTCGATACAATATCGATCTCACATTTGCCGATTTACAAACTTTGAAAGATGGCCGCTGGCTCAATGACAACGTTATTGATTTCTATCTCAATATGGTTATGAAGCAAAACCCTAAGAAAATATTTATCTGGACAACTCATTTCTATTCCACTTTAGCATCAAGAGGGTATAACGGGGTTGCAAGATGGGCAAAGAGGAAAAAAATCGATTTATTCACAATGGACAGAGTCATTGTACCGATAAACATCAGCAACACGCATTGGGCATTAGCTGTGATTGACAATGTGGCAAAAACAATTACATATTACGATTCATTGACTTTTGGTCAATCAGGTAATCCCGAAGCCGTTGAAAATTTACAAATGTATATGGATCATGAAGCACAACGCTTGAATTGCGATGCTGTGCAATACAAGTTGATTCCGTATATTGAAGCACCACAACAACAAAATGGATCTGATTGTGGGGTTTTCACTTGTATTGCCGCTCGATATTTGGCTCAAGGTGAAAAGTTTAATTATTCTCAAAATGACATGAAGATGATTAGACGTCGTATGACGTACGAGATTATGAATGATGAATTGCTAAAATAAAGCAAGGCGTACATGTTTTATACAATTTATTTACAAAGTATTTGCAGGATCGAATTCTTTATTCCGTCCGCTTTACTCTTCTCATCTCTCCTTTATTTTTTTGCCTAGAAGATGCCCAAGAACGAATGGGACTTGGAGTCACCATTGTAGGAGGCAATATCAGCAATCTCCTTTTCATAATCAACAATCTTCTTATTTGAAGCTTCAATCTTTTTCGACAAATAATCAATACGACCATCCAATCTGTTTCCAATTTTGTAGATTCCGCTCAACTCCGACTCCAATTTATTAATTTTACCCACTTCCAAATTGATCAAGTTGGTTAAATAGTCAGTTTCGTACAATTTCCAAATCCTTAAATCGCCAATTATATTGCTAAAAGCAGCTTTGAATAATGGCCTACCGGTGGTTATCTTGTTCAACACTCCCTTGTCACGTTTCAACGAAATCAAATCAAATTTCTCCAACGTTGATAATGTGTCCATTGTTTGCTTAGATGATTTGAACAAGGGCAGTTTAATCAAATCGTCATAAGAAATGACTTCTTTCTTCAGTAATAATTTCATGATTAACCATACTTGGGCAGAATTCCAGTTGTTGTCCCCATTATCGATTTTCTGGCTACTCAAAAAAAATGTAGTAATCAATTCAGCTGCCTGCGTAATCATCTCCGTCACGGCATTGCTTGGGTCCTCGCCGGACTTAACTCGACGTATAAATGCTTGCAAATCCAACATCCTTCCACCTAATGGCTCCAAACATTCACTTAACGTGGAAGTACCCTTAACATTGAGCACATCACATACATACTGTTTCGAGCTCATCATGGATGCATCACTCAAGGAGAGATCCTTGAACACTTGATTAGGTAAAGCTTCATTCAAATGCTGTACTGAACCAACATCAGCCGTCAAAAAGATCACATGAGCAATATTGTTTTGAATTAACCCCGAAGCCCATTCAGCAATCAAGGGGTATATGAAATCATTCAGGTGAACATCTGCTCTTCTCGAGAACTTGTTGATCACAATAATTGGCTTGGACTCTGGATGCTGTGCTAAGAAATCCTCTTGCCTTAAGATTTCAATCTTATCCTCATCCTTTAACCGCTTGTTCTTCCTGTCAACACTCTTTGCATATTTCTGATAATCCGATTCACATATATGCCTGATGGATTGGGTAGCCAATGAAAACATGTTTTTAATCTGAGTTTCTTTGCTTTCACTAAATCCAGATTTCTGACCCGTTAAACCTTGTACACCCAAATCAACAAATTGTGAAATCGAATTCGTCCATGTAAAAACAGGAAAGTATCCCAATTGAGAAGCAGTACTCCCAATTAATGTGTTTTCTGATCTAGCTTTGCTCAATTTGTCACACTCAATCACCAAGACCTTGCTATTTAATCGATCATCTGAAGCCAAGGTATGATCCAACACAAACTCTTCTTTACCTGACCCTTGAGGACCTTTAACAATGATAAAACTGTTCAAGTTCTCCAAGATCCACAATTTCAATTGTTTTGACTTTTCAAATCTCTCTTGCCAAAACATGTTACTCTCTTTTTTAATCTCATCCATAGACTGACTATCCAGAGTATCGCAATCTTTGTCACCAACGACTTCATGAATTTGAGTATCGATGTAATCATAACTACTTGATACCAAATTCGCCAATGCCCTGTATGGGATATAAAGTAATTGGAAAGCCTTGTTTTGTTTAAAGTAATCAAACGAATGTCTGCTATGCGTAATCTTGTACTCAATACACCATTCTCTTATTGGATCAAACACCATCACTGCAAACCCTGCAAGAAGTGCCAAAAGAATCGGAATTGCTATTTTGGTATGGTTGGAAATGAAATCAACCAAATAGTTCTTTCTCTTTATTGGTGCAAATTGGATATGGATTGTAGTGTTACCATTATTCAACAGCATCCCCGTAATACAATGCTTGGCGCATGTTGCTGCTCGAATATTGTGGAAAAGGACTATTGACTCGTTTGGGTCAGCTTTGATATCGTCAATGAGCCCATATCTCCTAAACAAAACGTACAACTCCTCCTCCGTCAACGGATCTCCCTCAAATTTTACTGCCAACTTAGGACTTGGGAACCTCTTCAAGTCCTCTATCCAAGGAACACCTTTCACGCTGTACACTTTGGGTGCTCTGTCAGTTATATAATCAAACACTCGAGAAACAACATTCTCCAGTTCCTTTTCATTCACGGCAACATTGTTTCTAATTTGAGTAATAAACTGCTTAGCGGTTTCATCTTGTGGGAACTGATACTTTACAAATGCACCCGAGTCTCTTGCCAAGGCCACAACTTCTGTCAACAACGACCCTTGCGGCAAGGGAGACGAAAGCTGTTCCACTCTTTTCTTGACCTGCTCGTCAGAGTAGCGTGGAGCAAACAATGCAAGCCGCGAGAGGTATGACTTGACGAAGTTGCGAGATGTGGCAAATGAATAATATAGCAATACTTCGTTGCTCCGTTTGTCAATGACACCTGTCGCTGATACTGAATTGTCGGTTTCCGTTGAGTCTGATTGTTTTTTCAAATCCTCTATATCGGTGGCATAGTGCCTGTAGGTTTGCAAGAGTACTGGTGGCGTGCGTTTGACACTGATGACCTGTAATGGACTAATCCTTGATAATCTCAACATTGCAGTAAAGACTAGCAACGTCAATTGAGTAGTAATGTTGGTGATAAAAGATTTGAAGTGTATTGCTACCGCAGGGGAAATCAAATGACCCAGATTAAACGCTACCAATTACGTCAGCTGCAAAAGTTCAAGATCTATATGAAGCTTGCAACAGTGGTTGTGGCTTCGACACGGAGTGTAATGGAGTAGCAGGTCTTGGTGATAGAGGAAGGATAGAGTCTGCTCCGTTCTCTTAACAAACAGAAGGCATTTGGAACTCGACCACTGTCTCACGTCAAAGAGAAATGTCTCAAACTGTTTCTTAAAAGATTAAATCTATGATAAACCCATTCCTATAACGTGATACTCTATGAGGAATAGACATTTTAGTTTGAAATTTCTGATTTTGGCCTCGCTTTGAACCCGTGTACCACTCTGATACAAGGGTCTTCGAAGAGGCCGACACGCGAATATAAAGAAAGAGAATGAGCCAGTCCAAAATGGAAATCCTTTCCTCTCCCAAACTAAATATATATATATATATTTCTCCTATATGGATATATATATATACCTATGGAAACTCTGATATGATATGATTAGTTGTAGTTGTAGTTGTAGTTGTATTGCAAAGAAAAAAGACAGAAGAGTTCTTGGAAAAAAAAAAAATTTTTTCCAACCTTTAAAACAGATCTCACTCACTCACTCACTGCGTATTTCTATTTTTGGTACAGACACGAAGTACGAAACAACAACAACAGGGTTGTGTCAATTACAGTTAAGGCAAATGTGTATACCTATGTATATATTGGTGACCGCTCTCTAATCAAGCGCTAAGCTTGGTACGGTGCCTGTGATTGGAGTGGCAAGAATTCTATAAAAGTCTGATGACTTCAATGCTCTAACAGGCAAATCATCGTTTTCATCTCGACTCAATTTCCCACTCTTGTAATTGTAATTCTCCTTGATGTATTCCCGGACTGGTAGTAATGCCGCTTCTCGACACAATTCTCTTAAATCAGATCCACTATAGCCTTTAGTCCTTTCAACAATCAGCTCCAAATCAAACTCCTGTTCATCCACTTTTGCATCCTTCAATATCTTCGACAAGATAGACCTTCTTTGGGAAGCATCTGGTTTACCAATTGCAAATGTCTTTGGCATTCTTCTTAAAAACGCTTCATCGATGTCGGTTTTTCTATTTGTTGCTCCCAAGACCATAATCTGTCCATTCGATTTCAAACCATCCCACAATGTCATAAACTCAGCCTTCAACAACGCGCTCACTTCATGATCACTTGACGACCTATCTCTTAAAAATGAATCTATTTCATCAATGAAAATGATGCATGGTTGCAACTTGTTGGCCAATGAGAAGATGGCATCAACAATCTTGTTTGATTCTCCATACCACTTGTCCATAACAGTTGACATTCTAATTGATAAAAAGAATGCACCACTTTCTTTTGCAATTGCTTTAGCAAGCATGGTCTTTCCACATCCGGGTGGGCCATAAAAGAGCACACCTTTAGGCGACTTGATCAAGTTCAGATGGACTGCAAATAGCTCTGGATCAGTCAACGGCAACATCACTGCTTCTCTCAATTCGTCAATAATTTCCTGTAGCCCTCCAATATCTTCAAAAGAAACGGAAATTTCGTCGGGTGTTACAAGGGAACTCAACAAGGTTTTCTCATATTGGTTTAGTGATATATTCTTCAAATGTGGATTAGCAGTTTGAATCTTTTTCAATATTCCCTTGCCTTTCTTATCTGATTCACTATTCTTGATGCTCTTGTCTAGGTATTCATTTATTATGGCGTTTAATAAGTAGTAAACGGATAAACTTGCTCCAGTTAACAACACCAAGTCACTGATAAGCTTGAAGTTCACTCTGACTTTACTTAAGTCAAACTTTAAGTTGAACATGGCGGCAGGAT